GGCAGGATGGCCATTTTGACGATATTAATTCTTCCTAGCCATGAGCATGGGATGAGTTTCCATTTATTAGTGTCCCCTTTAATTTCTCTTAAGAGTGACTTGTAGTTTTCAGAGTATAAGTCTTTCACTTCCTTGGTTAGGTTTATTCCTAGGTATTTTATTCTTTTTGATGCAATGGTGAATGGAATTGTTTTCCTGATTTCTCTTTCTATTGATTCGTTGTTAGTGTATAGGAAAGCTACAGATTTCTGTGTGTTGATTTTGTATCCTGCAACTTTGCTGTATTCCGATATCAGTTCTAGTAGTTTTGGAGTGGAGTCTTTAGGGTTTTTTATGTACAGTATCATATCATCTGCAAATAGTGACAGTTTAACTTCTTCTTTACCAATCTGGATTCCTTGTATTTCTTTGTTTTGTCTGATTGCCGTGGCTAGGACCTCCAGTACTATGTTAAATAACAGTGGGGAGAGTGGGCATCCCTGTCTGGTTCCCGATCTCAGTGGAAATGCTTTCAGCTTCTCGCTGTTCAGTATAATGCTGGCTGTGGGTTTATCATATATGGCCTTTATTATGTTGAGGTACTTGCCCTCTATTCCCATTTTGCTGAGAGTTTTTATCATGAATGGATGTTGAATTTTGTCAAATGCTTTTTCAGCATCTATGGAGATGATCATGTGGTTTTTGTCTTTCTTTTTGTTGATGTGGTGGATGATGTTGATGGATTTTCGAATGTTGTACCATCCTTGCATCCCTGGGATGAACCCCACTTGGTCATGGTGTATGATCCTTTTGATATACTGTTGAATTCTGTTTGCTAATATTTTATTGAGTATTTTTGCATCTACGTTCATCAGGGATATTGGTCTGTAATTTTCTTTTTTGGTGGGGTCTTTGCCTGGTTTTGGTATTAGGGTGATGTTGGCTTCATAGAATGAGTTTGGGAGTATTCCCTCCTCTTCTGTTTTTTGGAAAAATTTAAGGAAAATGGGTATTATGTCTTCTCTGTATGTCTGATAAAATTCCAAGGTAAATCCATCTCGTCTGGGGGTTTTGTTCTTGTGTAGTTTTTTGATTACTGCTTCAATTTCTTTGCTTGTAATTGGTTTGTTTAACTTTTGTGTTTCTCTCTTGGTCAGTCTTGGAAGGTTGTATTTTTCTAGGAAGTTGTCCATTTCTTCTAGGTTTTCCAGCTTGTTAGCATATAGGTTTTCATAGCCCAATTACTTTTTAAAACATACTAATTTACAATGTTACCAGGCAATATAAATGCCAATTTCACAGAATTCTTATCATTAGATATTGTATTTTAAAAAGATTTACTAATTAATTCTGGAAAAAGTGGTATCAAGGTGTTTTAATTTTTTGATCACTAGTAAAGTGGAAAATACATCTCTCAATCAGGTTTTTTGATAGGAGCTGGATTTCAAATTCAGATGTTATATTCTCTGAAAGGACATGGTAGCCTTAGCTCTGTTTATGACATTGCTTCTAGGCAGGTACGCTGGGAACCAAATGAGTAGATGATATAATTGACAGACTGGCAAAAGATGTCTAACCTACATTCTTTTACCATGAGAAAAACCAGAACTTCAGAAGTTTCTTCAGAAAGAACTTTGAACTTATTCCAGCGTGATTTGTCAAAAGAAAATTGATTTTACTTTCTAAAAACTAAAAGAATAGTTTCTAATTTCTCACCAGTTCAAGTTTGCTGAATTACATAACTCCAAAAGCCACCATTCATAAAGAAATCAGATCATATGAATAGGGGTTATATGAATAATGGTTATATGAACTGTTGCACCATGTGATGGTTCTCCCTGTACTTACATCTTTTCAGATTATTCTCCTCTATAAAAAGGGTTATTCTTTATAAAAACAATGACAAATACCTAAAATCATGTATTTATGTATGCTTTCATTTTAGAATCTTGGCCTTTTCCCTATCTTCCATTACTTCTGTCACAGTTAAGATTGATGGAGTTCATTTAGGGCAAGCTGTTCATTTGTCTGGTCCTATTTTCATACTGAAGTGGAATCCAAGAAACTATGGTAATAGGACACATAACATAGAAGTCACCGTCCAGGTAAGTTAGTAATTTTCAACTTGCTATATAAATGACTAGGCTGTAACCACACTGAACTCTAATTTGGGTTTTTTTCAGTCAATTGATAAACATGAAACTAAGTTAATTAATAATTTGCATACACTGCATTTAATATCTGAAAATGGGCATTCAGGAATATTTCCACTAGTAGAGTAAAAACCGGGCAGAGGAGAACATGAGTGTGCAACTATTGGAATCCGTCTTTTCTTTTCTTTTGACTTTGGCTAATCTTTGAATAATGAGAGCAAATTCCCCAATATACCCAAAGAATAAGGATACATAAAAATATGTATTTATGTGTTCATGCCTTTGATCACTGTCTCCAAGTATAGGAAAATTCTATTGCTATTTTAAAATCTCTAGGGTAGAGAATTTTCAATGCATTAAAAGATTTTTTTGTTTGGGGAGTATGTATTGGTAGCATAAGCCATAACAGTCTGCCTGTCCCTATTCTGATTCAGCTTGGGGGCATTTCATTTATCTGCCAGAGTAAAAAGTGATCATCATTACCGAAATAGAGCAGTTTGATCAACATTATGAAACTCTTAAGGGGACAGACTGTGCTCAGAAATTAGTTTCTGGGAAAAGAAAATCTTGTTGATTTCTACAACTCTATGATTTGATGACAGTTTTTAACCATTTAAATCTTCCACTGTTATGTCTTAGCTTGAAGATTACCAAATAATCCTTCAGAAAACATTGTAATTTTTTTATTATCTTTTGTGTGTAAGTCACAGAGAAGGATTTTAAGCAGGAAGGAGCTATTCACTGAGCTCCTTCTAAGGAGATGCCAGACACTTAGAATTTTTTACTTAATCCATTTAACAATCCTAAATGGGTAGTTTTATCCCCAGTTCATAGATGAGGAAACAAGAGAAGACACTTTGCAATGCTAGCCATCTTTGCAGTGCTCTGCCTAGGAGGTAGAAGAGACTCTCAGGGAGGGTGTGGAAGGAGGGATGTCTGAGGATAAACTCTTAATAAGTCTTTCATGTTAGAAGTTGGAAGAGCTTGAAGGTATACCAGTGCACCTAGAATAAATTATTCCCTGTCATTACAGTCATGGGGAAGAAGTAGGAGCAGCAGCAAGAGACCTGTTCACTGTAGGAATGGGGAACTCCAAATCCTTCGATTGCTTCAGAACCCCAACTTCTGTAGTTTTGTGAAGAAAAATACATAGCTCACATTCCTTGAAACATTTCTGGCTGCTTAGCTGGATCCTTAGTAAAAATGTGAAATCACATGGAATTTTTGCACGTTTGACATTTCTTATAACATTATTGAGGTATAGTTTAATTACGGAAAACCCTACATACTTAAAGAGTACAGTTTGGTGAGTTTTGATGTACATCCTTGAAACCATTGCTATAGTCAGTAAAATACATCATCCTCAGAAGTTTTCTTGTGCTCTTTTGCAGCTGCCTTCCTCCTACCCTCATTTCCTAAATGTATCTAACTTTAAAAAATTAGTCTACTGAATATTAAATAGGGAACCTGGTCTCTATTCATCAATGGCAAAGTTCTGTGTTTTTTAAGTATGGTGCACTGTAGATAAGTCTGAGAGAAAAATCTATGAGAGAAGACATCAATTTATTTATCTTATATTTTGCCTACTCACTGTAGTATTGAATGTCTGTAGGATCTAGGCAGCCTATTAGCATAGGCCTTTAGATAGTTCTTGGTGTGGTTCCTGAACTAGCAGCACCGACTCACCTGGAAACTTGTAAGAAATGCAAACTGTCAGCTCCCTTCCCACATCTGTGAATCAGAAACTCTGGAGATGGGAGCCAGCAATCTGTTACAACAGTCCTTTCAGGTGAGTCTCGCACACTAAACTTTGAGAACCTGAACTTTAGATTATTGTACCTACTTTGCCAGTTTAAAGAGTAGACTCTAGAACTGTATTTCAAAATTAAAGCAAATCTCTGCCTGAAAACAAGAACTTATAACTTAAGAATATTTTGAACAATAAAAGTTTGATAAATACCAGTAAAAGTTTTTTCTATTTTTAAACATTTTTATTGTTTTTATAATATAAATATATATAATAAATATATAAATAAATATAATAAAAATAATATAATATAAATAAAAAACATTTTATTATTTTTAAACATTATATATTAGAAAAATATATGAAAGAGATAATGAGATAATACTAAAAAGAATCCCATGTATCCATCAGCCAACTTCAATAATTATCAACTCAGGACAATCTTGTTTCATCTATACCCCTCCACTTCTCCCGAACCATGATGTCGTTTCATCAAACGATAAAATTTTAAAAAAGTAACTGTAATCCCATATCACACCTGAAAAATTAACTGCAATTCCTTAGTATCAAACTATCCAGCTAGTGTTAAGTTTTCCCAATTTGTCATATATATATATATATATATATATACACATACACATATATATGTGTCAGTATATGTTGTATTTGGGTGGTTCAAATCAGAATCCAAATAAGACCCAAATATTGCATTTAGCTGATTTGTCTCTTCAGTCTCCTTCTTCCTTCTCCCTGCCACCCTTTTTTTTCCCCTTGCAATTTACTTGCTTTGGAAACTGCATCTTTTATCCTGTAGAGTTTTCTATATTCTGTATTTCTGCCATTTACATCCATGTGTTATCATTTAGCATGTTTCTCCACCCACTCTAGTTTCTGTAACTGCAATTAGACTTAGAGATTGCATCAGATTTAAATCTGTTTGGTTTTTTTGGCAAGAATACTCCATTTGGTGTTTTGTGCATTTATCAGAAGCTTGTAATATCTGGTTGTCTTTCTTTTAGTAATGTTAAGGTCAATCAGCATATTCAGGTGTTGGTAACCTTATCCAGTGATGTGCTGGTAAATATTTAACAGCCAGCTTGGGCCAGGTTTGAAGGGGGGACCCTAATTTGTAGCATTTCCATGATTTATACCAATTTCCATAGTATAAATATTCCTACCATAGCTGGTTGTAGGCTGTCAACACATCAGTTGGCCTGTAAAATTCCTGCAAATTTAACATTTGGCCCTTGTAGGCCTGTCAAGCCAGCTCCAGCACACTGCTAGCATATCCCTCCATTCATTATGAAGTACCTAATCAGCTTTTTACTGAAGGATTTCTAGCAGCTATTGATGATCTTGGCCTAGATCCATTGTTTCATTAGAGTAATAAAATGGTGATATTCAAATTGCTACTCCTTATTATAGGAGTATTAATTAAAATAGTCCTATAAAGAAGAGATTTCCCTCATCTATTTTGTACCCAGATATAGAGATCATACAGGAAAGACAGGATAAATTCTTATTTCTTCCCCCACTCCCCTTTTCTAAGCAAATTTTCAGGTAACAAGTTACTTCTCTAGTATCTGACAAAGGTAGCCAAATGAGTCTCTTATTTTTAGTTTCATTACGACTTAAAAGTTTTTAAAAAACGCATTTCAGTCTACTGCATTTATTCATTTTGATGCTCAAATTGCCGCATTTTTGGCAATGGGAGCCTCTCCAAGCTGCCACTAAGCCCTTTTATACAATCCCAGTATCTTTGTGAGTTTTCTTGCTTTAGGGGATGAAGATATTCCAAGGTCTTCTTGTGTATTTCTTACTCAAGAATTGGAATTAACTATTTCCTCAAAAGAACACTGATTCCTTAGAGTGAGAAATTTAATTTTGAGACCACAATCTGGGCACTAGGTAACTAACTCATTGATAGCGAGTTTGCTACTATTTTTAGGCCTTTTCAGTGGGAAGAGGGAAATACAGATTTTTTTTTAAGGGAAAATACATTGTGAATACATGTTGGTATGTCTAGTTCAAATCTAGAATTATAGGGTATAAAAGAAGTTCTATTTAAAGTGCTTATAGGAACAATCAAAAGCAAATGAAAAAAATGTAGCTACTGAAATGAGAGACTAAAGTTATTGGGAACTTAGTCTTGGAATGTTATACATATTTAAATGTGCGTGAGAGTTACTTCTCTGCTGTGCTTATAACCAGGATTCTGCTGGAAGAAGTAAGACTGTTGACCACATATTCTTTGCTCAAGAGGATATTTATCTCAGATTTGATCCCCTGGCATCATTTATTCTCCTTACTGACCATTGCACTGTGGTGAGTAAATTCAGTTAAATACTATATGTGTTTTTTATTAGATTCGGTAGGTCCAAAGTCAAATAATATAATCATGTGATGAGAAAGATGAACCTGACAAAATTAAAAGTTTAGTTTTTTGTGTAGAAGAACGAAATATTTTTAAGTTGATTTGTATTAAAAGAAGCACATAAAATGGACAAGTAATACCCATCTTGGGTATTAACCTTGTTCTAACCAATACCATAAAACCAGGGTGTAACTGAGGGAATTATAGGGACTGTGCTAAATTGTATTAAGGATCTTTTTGAAAATAGTATTTCTATATAAATAAAACATGTTTAACATAGAAAATTTGGAAAATTTAGAAATAAAATCAGCCACACAGCATTTTTTATCACACTAAATATAATAACCATTGTATTTCTCATTATGACACCCTGTTTTTCTCTCATATACATTGTATATGAGTTTTTAACATAATATGATAACATACTTTTTATTCTCTTTTGCTGTCTCTTTTTCCACTGAGGAATATGTTTTGCTATTTTCTTATATCAGTATATATTATTTTATAACATGATGTTTATTGGCTGCATTATATTGTCATAGATAGACCATTTCTCTACTATGGATATTTCCACTTTTCCCCTTTACTATATAAATACTGCTTGCAATTAAATTTTTTGTATATATTAGTTTTTTAGGGATAAATTACTAGAAATGAATTGTTGGATCAAAGAATAGACACATTATTCTATATACTTTATTATACAATTATACAAATTGTTTATTATATTGATTGTTTTTGATCTATTCTCCCTCATTCAAATATAAGCCTCTTAAGGGCAGGGATCATTGTGTAGTATGCCTAACACAGAATAGGCCCTAAAATAAATATTTCTTGAATGAATAAATGTTTTGTTTTAGTTTTTGTTTTAATATGCAGTGTCAAGTTTTCTTCCAGAAGTGCTGTGGCAATCTATACTCTATTTCCCTCAGATCTCACCTATCCTGGGTATCTACATAAAATACAGAAAAGATAAACACTGCAGTGTTGAAAAGAAAATTTTTATGTCTTTTAATTTCACCACCCATAGATAGCTTTAGTGTGTTTCCTCACAGACTTAAAATGTGAATTGATTATTTTAATTTATTACTTGTGTGATTGAGATTTTAAAAAATTTGACAGGTGGGCATTTGTATTTCATTTTTATGTTTTTTTGTGTGTCATTTATTTTTCTTTTGGGGATTTTGAATAGTCACCTAGATCAGGCTTTGGAAACTTTGCTCTACTTATGAACCACCTGGGAATATTAGTAAGAGACAGATTCTGATTTAGTAGGCTGAGATGAGGCCTGAGATTCTACATTCCTAACAGGCTCAAGGTAATGCAAGTGGTGATCTGGGGCTCCCTACTTTGAGAAATAAGAACCTAGATTCCATGTCTCTTTACTGTGAGTTAATCTCCAAGTGAATGACTTCTTAATGGAGAAAGCAAAAGAAAATGCAGTCTCTGTTCACTCAGCCTACAGTGTACTGTGTACTGTTTTTCTTTACTCTTACACAACTTGAAAGAAAACTAATTATACCTCTCCTAGTATAATAAGTGTAGACTATTTTAATTTTATCACATTATGTCACTGTATAAAATTACTTAGTTTCAACAGTGGTCTGAGTATCCAACTTCTGAAAGAGTAATGCTGAGGTAACTTATAATTTTCTTTTTTGGTGGATCAGATGTTTGATTCTCTCTGTTCATATATTTTTCTTATATAGTCATTTCTGTTAATGATGTCATTTCCATTTTTGTTAATGAGGCCATTTTAAAAACCTTAACTGACGTTGTACCCGTGTTTCACATTAACATCCATTTCTCTTCAGGCCCGGGTCCTTTTTGTGATGATTGCACTGATCCAGCTCACCATTCTCATTATTTTTAGGTATCAAGGATATCCAGAGTATGAAGGTTAGTATGGTTCCTTTTATTCTTAGAAGACATTATTTTAAACTATCTAATGATGTCCTCACTATTATCATGTGATAAATACCAATATAAACTGTTTTGGTCTGAGCTCTGTGAGGTCCTTCAAACTATCATACCTTTTCCACAATACTCTGTCTTTAAAACAAAAAAATCAATTTTTTGCTGCTACATGGCAGTAAAATGAGGCTTGACAAAAATGGGGGGAATCACAATATAGCTTAAAATGTCCAAACATCTCTGCTACATATTAAAGATCTTCCACAATCTGATTAACTTATTTAGCTAGCTGTGCCTTCAACCAGGTACCTGTATTTCAGCCTAGATAATTTTTCAGTGTTCTCTGCATATGCCATGCTCATTTTTGCTTCTGTGCTTTTGTTCAGGCTATTATCTGTACTTAAAAATTATTTTTCAAACTTGCATAGGTCTTAGCTTCCTTTAGGCCTCACCTCAAACCCTCTTTTTCCATACAGTCTTACTCTGCCAGTCCAGATCTTAATGAGCTCTTGCTTCCCTGAATCCCTATAGTCCTTCCTGATGATTAATTTTTTACTTAATTAGCCAGTCACCTTGCTTCATATAACCACTTTAAGTGTATATACATATTCTCAACCAGGTCATAAGTTCCTTAATATAGAAGTTCTTGTTTTCTCCTTTTCTGTTTCCCACAGCACCTGGCACTGAGTTTGTGCAGAATAGATAATAAATACTTGTTGAATTAAGTTTTTCTTATCCCTTCCTGGCTTGAATGAAATCCCTGGGATGAGGGACTGATTGCGGGGTAGGGGAGAACTGTACTAATGATTAAACAGTAAAATGGTTAATTGAATAGGTAGTGTACACATCTTACTGAATGTTTTACTGCCTATGTATATATATTTGTATGTATTTTAAAGTTCTATGGAAAAAGGTGAAGAAGCATTATTACATACATATATTTTCCTACACAAAGTGTAAATAAGTAAATGTTCGAGGGAAAGCCCCAGACTCATTTTGTGAGGATACCAATATCTTTGTGTAGTTATTTAAAGTTTACAACATATTTTTACCTATGTTACCTCACTTAATCCTTATAATAATTTGGGAAGGAGATACTATTGTCCTAAACTAAGGTCTGGGAGAGATTATGTAGATTGTCCAAATTCTCACAGCAAACAGGAAGCAGCAGGGAGATCAGAACCCGAATTTGATCCCAGGTCAGTTCTTTTGTTTAAACAACACTTCTCAACTTTGACTATGTCTTAGAATCTCCTAGGGAACTTTTAAAATCTCAGTGTCTACACAGTACCCTAGACCAATTATGTCAGAACCTCTAGAGGTAGGACTTAAGTATCAGTAGTCTTTAAAGTTCCCCAGATGATTCCAGGGTGCAGTCAAGGCTGAGAAGCAGTTATGTCTAAAGTAATAATCCTCAGAACTTGCTTCTTAGAATCTCCTGGGTTGCTGTCTAAGCTCCCCTTCTCCCCTGGGGCCAATTAAATCAGAATCTCTGGAAAGTGACACCCGAGCATGAGTATTTGCTAAATGTTCTCCCCAGATAATTCTAATGTGCAGCCACGTTGAGAATCATTGCTTAAAGTTTAAAGCATAGCTGACTCTAAGGCTAAAGGATTATTTATTAGTAATAAATAATAATTATTAAAGGTGGATATGTAGAGTAATACCTTGAGAAGTACCACACTAGAATAAGAAAGAAGCTAAGAGAAGAATGAGTAGCAAGTATGTAACACACAAAGTGAGAAAGGTCACGTATTATCAGACTTTGTATGAAAGTAACTGTCAGCAGGCTCAACAATGTTTTAAGTAGAAAACAAAGACGCTGCCTATTAGGAAAGACATATTATTTAACTTATATCAGGCTGTGTTTCATCGGGACTAGTCCTTTAAATAGTTTCACCTCTAGTGTTGCTCAGTGTGCATGAGCTTCCTATCATAGTCTTTTGCTGCCTAGTTTATGATCAGCCACATGCATGAGTGAAGTGGCTAGCTGGGGTTGAGGATTTGTGATACTTAGTCTGTGGCCACAGAATGAAGCTTCTCTGTGTGAAGCCTGTATGCTTGGGTTTTTTGGCACTGTATTTTAAGAGATGTTAATTTGGAGAGCCTTAGGGATCCCTCTCAGTTGGAGTAAGGGGATAGCTGTGAGTTAAGGGCTGTATCACATATGGGGAAGGAATATTTGGACAGAAACTCATACTTAAGATTGGACTGGAAAAATTTTGATATTTCTTTGATATACATTTGTTATGTCTTAGAAGTTTGTACATTTGGATACTATATCCCATAAAAGACAGAGACTTGATCATCCTTTGAGTATGACACTGTATTTCAAACCTACATGAGGATAAAGTAATAGTCCTCTGGCAGGTTTCAGTCATTGAAAAAATATGTGTGTGCCTGTGTCTCAACCACACCATTGCTTTGAACTTTCTACCCTCTGCAATTCTAAGTGAACTGCCTTACCAGGATTCCTGCCAACTTCTGAATTTAAAGTGGCATCATCTGTATAGTTACCATATAACAGAAGATTTGCTGAATATATAAATTCCCATGGAAGTCTTCTAGAAAATGTTAAAAGAAATTAGACTTTGCATGTGTTCACTGATTTTTCAAATTTATTCTGTTTAGGACCTCCAAGATTTATACATTTGACCTCATTTTCCCTTCATGTCTTGAGCAAAATAAACATCTTCTACTATTCTGTGTTGCTGCTGACCCTATATACAGTGCTGGGTAAGTTAATTAGGAAACCTGAGACTTCAGCACATTCTCCCAAATAATATATTGAGAATTCTGAAAGAGTCATTAAAGCTCTTGATTGCTTAATGAACAGTACATGGCTATTTTCCTGAGTCATTTCCTGGGATATGGTCTTGGGAAACGAAAGTTATTTCCTAACATACTTAAAGATCATTTAATTGACACCAACTCAAGAAGCTGAAATCAGAATTAGTATTTGTATAGAAACCTAGTAGAAGATAGAAGTTCAACTTACATGCCATCTCTTCAGAGCAGCCTTCTTTGACTATCTTAAAGTTTTATCCTCTATTTCATCATACCTTTTATTTCCTTCATTACTTTATCAAAATTTATGATTATCTTCTGTGTTTATTATCTCTCTCTTCATTAATATCCATTGATGTCTTGTCTGTCTTGTGCACCTTAAATGCCCAGCGCTACACACAATGCCTAATGTGGTTCAGTTAATATTTACTAATGTGTGGCTCCTAAAAGCTCAGCTCAGACAAGAGAAAAACTGACTTGCGCAGTGAGTTCAGAGCTTTTCTGTTGTATTAATTATTATACTCAATATAGACTCACTTAGCCAATTATGGAAGCAGAAAGCACTGCAAGTCTCTCTTAATAGCTATTCACTAATGTTCCATAGTGACTAAAAGTCAGTTAGGAGTAGATTCACCTGTTGCTTAGTCTTTGTTTTATACTTTTATTCCACTGCTGGACTTTTCTTTGCTCATTAGTAACTCCCACCAGAGAACAGAAGTAGTTAAGTAAAAAAAATATGACGCTTTACAATTCTATATAACAAGCTATGGTAGATTGGCTTTTGGAGGTCAGTTTCCTTGTTATAAGATAGGTCAAAGCTGCTTTAGACACTTTTCTTAACACTAGGAGACAAAGCAAGTGATTTGGTTTCTGGCTGTAAAAAAAAAAACATTAAAAGGGCAGAGGTTGTCCCATTTTTAAAAGTTGAAATTTTCAGGGAAAATATTTTTTCAGACTCATATGTATCTAATGGAGTTTATATATCTCTGAGAAAATCACCTATGACTTTTTTAATGGGAACTCTTATCAGTAAATGATAGTATTTGCATTTTGAGAAAGTCTGACTATTCCTTAATCACTCCTGACAGTATTATAATTCCAGAAACCTATACACTGAGAAGGGGCAGTAATAAATAGGAAGGAGGGCAGTAATAAATAGGAAGGAGAGAATAATCATTCTGGCATTCTAGATGAAAAATTAAAGAAGCAAGTTAGACTTTGTACATGTTAACCTATAGTATTTAGTTGATGTACAAAATAATGACTGTGTTAGCAAGGAAAGGTCATAATACATTCATTAATAAGAAAGAGGAAGTACATTTTAGGAAGAGTAAAGTGGTTGAAGTTTTATTGCTTAAAAGAGTAAATCTCAGCTATGTGGAAAATTAACATCTGTGGAATACCTCTTTGCTTCTTTAAGGGGCTATTAATGCATTGACATTGTTATTGCAACAGAATCTTCTAAAGTTTGTGAATGTATTCCAATCTGGTTCTGGCATTTATTCCAGGTACAGCATATACTCCAACAGTTGTATAATCAGAGAAATATGAAATAAAGGAATAAATGGTTGGTTAGCTAGGACATCAAGTGCAATACAGAGATCAGCAAAAAAGAAAAGCTATGCAAATAAAATGCTTATAGATGGCTAGCCTTGTATTTCTTCATTATTCCTGTAAGTGCACCGTATGATATATGTAATTAGAGTCATAGTTATTTCATCTTCTCCTTTCCTGTCCATTGTCTCTTTCAGGACCATGGTTTGTTGGTGAAATCACTGAAGGCAAATTAGGATGCTGCTTTTCCTTTGGGATCGTTGTTGATGGACATTTCCTACAAGGCAGCCTAACATTTGTAGTTGGAATTCTTCAGGTAAGAAGACAGAAGTGGAATTTAAGAACATCTTGGCCTTGTTAGACTTCCTACATAACAGTTATGAATTAAATCCAAAGTCCCAAATTAAACACTGTAGATCATGTTTCCTAACTTAGTGGCAGGGCAGTATTTAATATCTGGTGTTATGTTTGCTTTTAGAGTGCTTCCTAACTCTTCCACCACTCTTTTGTTAAGAGGTGAAAGAGGTTTTTGGTTTTTTTGTTTCAGTTTTTTATCGATAAAAAAATGAAATAGGGGACTTCCGGTAGAAAAAATGACAGACTTCTGAGAAAGCCAAATTGATTATGATAATGAAGAAGGAAGACATTTCAGAGGGATGAAAGGAAAAATAAGCACACAGGAAAAGTGGGTCATTTAACCAATGGAAGCTGCACTGGGCAAGAACCAGACCTGGGCCTTCTAGTGAAATCTTAGCAGCAGAATCTTCTAAAGTTTATGAATGTATTCAATCTGGTTCTGGGATTTATTGTTTTGGGAAAACACAGATACATTAGATTTACATGTGGGTTAAGATTCCATTAAAAGAAACACAGAAACAAAAACCCTGACCTGTAGCAGATCTCTATAAATAGGTTTGAAAAGTATTTACCTAGTAATTTCTTTTTTTTTACTCACCTAATGGCACTAATGGACCAAAATCTGAGGTTTGATCTGAAGTTTTGGAAGAGATCCAAAAACATTGTTCAAAATGAGTTCACAACTTTGTAACGGCAGTAAAACGTGTTGAGCAGGATCAGAGACAGACAGATAGGGGTAAGACCTCTGACTAGCAAACATTGACCAGAGGTTTGAACATTCTCTGAATAAGCGGTATTTTATATGTAAGTTCTGGGTCCAGTTTAGTTTTCTGTTACGTAGATGAAAGCTGTCTCTCGGGAGCACTCTTATACCAATTAAAACATGAGCCTTACCAAAAGGTAGGTTTATATTAATATTTTAATAAATAGTACACTAATAATGAATTTTATGTATCATCCAAGCCTGTTACTCACAAATCTGTAACTGACTAGACGTCTTCATGTGCCTATATATCAAACTGCCATTTCACAACTTCCTTTAGATATTTAACAGGCATCTCATTATTAAGTTGCTAATAGGACCTTTATTTCTATCCCAAACCTGTTTCTCCCTCTAGTTTTTTCCAATTTTAATAAATGGTTCCATACATCGTATTCCTCTAGGATATACCTTTAATTCTTCTCCTTCCCTCATACCCTACATTTAATGCATCAGCAAGTAGTGCCTTGTTTGATCTCCAGTAATATCTTTAATCCACCAGTTCTCCCCATCTCTGTTACCACCACCCTAATCTAGGTTATTTCTTGGCTGAGCTACTGCAGTAACCCCCAGACTGGTCTTCCTAGTGCTACTCTTGTCTTCCCACTGTCAGTGTGTCATAGAGCATCCACTGTGGTCCTTTTAAAACCTTTATCAGTTCACTCACTTCTCAGCTTAAAATCCTTTAAGCAGAGCAGTGATGTAATCTGGGTCCTGCTGACTGTCCCAGTTTCCACCTGGCTTATCATGTTCCAGGCCCATTGACCTGTCCCATCTCTGGGCTTTTCATTTGTTTCTTCTGCTTGGAATGCAGTTCCTTCACTGACTCATTCCTGTCCCTCAGGCCTCAGAGAATTCATCTCCCAGTTACTCTCTAGTGACACAGCTCTTTGCTTCATTGAATTTATCGCAATTTGTAATGACTTTTTTGTGTATTTTCTTCTTTCTCTTCTTGTTAGAATGTAAGCTCTATGATGCATCTTTTCTGACTTGTTCACCAGTGTTTCCTAGCCTAGAGCCTAGCACAGTGCCTGCCACATAATAGGTGCTCAGTAGTTATTTGGTGAATGAATGAATGAATCATACAGCAGCTAAATTTGGATCATAACTTAAATTGTCTAGTTTGTATTCCAGTACTCATCATGCTACTTCAAACAAAAATAGAGATTAATACCCAAGTCCCCCCTCATTCTACCAAAAAAAAGTATGTGTTTGTGTGTGTATAAATGTATATACATACATCCAGTTCATTTCTACCTTAAACATTATTGAAGGCTTCAACCTAAATGAAATACCTGCCTTTAAGATAAACAAAAGGATATGGCAAATACACAATTAACTACAAGTCAGCTGTTGCGTTATAAGCATGTGTGACTGAAGCATAAAGTATCAGTCCCCAGAGTAAAAAGCCACATATTCTCAGGAGCTGGCAGGAATGTGTTAATGAGACCCTACCCTTCCAAGGTTTTTCCAGTAAGCTAACGGTTCTGCTCTGCTCCTTTTCCCAGCTGGTGTTTTTTAACATCCCCTTGATGGCTTACCTGTGTTGGAGCTTGCTGCAGCGGAGTTTTGGTCACAGTTTCAGTTCTCATCTCCATCAAGGAAAATGCTTGAAAATTATACCTGTTCACCTACTTATGTTGCTACTCTACATCTGGCAGATGTATTCCTGCTACTTCCTTCATATGACATATGGCACTGTAGCTTTTTTATTCTCCCCTTTAAGGACCTGGTTGACGCTGCTAACACCCGTTATCATTCGTTGTGTGTGGACACTGAACTCCAGTGAGCTTGGAACCTTCGTAGCGCAGTTAAAAAGCCGCTTGAGTCCCTGAAGGCCATGTCTCGCCATCACCTCTGTAGCCCAGGCCTCTGCCCCAGCAGGAGGCGGAGGGCCAATATTGGTGGATAAGCTTCAGGGAGCTGCTGCTGTTTGGGCACCGGGAGTTGGGGGATTCTCACTACTGATTTCTGCAGAATGGACTACAGAAAAGTCTCTAAATAATGCTGTAATTCCTTCTTTCCCCCAAGAAAGCAAAGGGTTGATTGACTTTTGTGAAGAGAAACCGCTAACCTATGATATCCACAGGGTAGGCGCTGGGTGTGTGTATGGGAGTATCTCTCTGGTCGTGTGTTTTTTAGGAATACCTCTTGGAAAGTACCTACCACAGTATCTGGGACTCGGCAACCGTTAAGGGTGCCACTTTAGGGACAGGGAACCAGTGCGAACTTGGGCCCTTCCTGCCCTATTGAGATAATAGCTCCCAGTCCTCTTACCCGGCGTGTTTTATGGGCGCTGTGCTTCCTTAGTCGGGGGTGTTTTCAACTAATCAAATAAATGATGAGTAAAGCGTGACTGGTGTCCGTGTATCTGGTCGGGACAGGGGGCGGGGCGAGGCGGGCTGTTGCCGGAAACGAGCCGGACTGGGACGCCCGGAAGTGCGGCGGCCGCCGCCGCGGTGTCACTGCGTCCTCCGTGCTCACCTGAGGCCTCCAGGCAGTCTCCCGAGATGGCGAGCGCAGCGGCGTCTGCAGCCGCAGTCGGCACCCTTGCAGCACCTGTGGAGCAGCTCCGGCATTTAGCGGTAGAACTGAGGCTGCTCCTGCCCGGAGTGCGGGGTGAGCTGACAGCCGGGGCGCGCGACGCCAGGGGCGGGCTGGGGAGGGACAAGGCTGGGCGGCGGCGGAGGAGGAGGGGAGGCTGGAGGTGGCTCCGCTGACCTCCGCTCCTCCTGGTGTCCCCGCCGGGCCCACACTCCACGCCTGCTAGTCGGCGAAGCCCGGGAGACCACCAAGGAATTTAATCGAGAGGCTTTTTGGAGAAGACTGAGTGAGTGCCTGTCCTGCTGGGACTTCCATCTCTCCTTCCCCGCGTCGGGACCCCTTGCCCTCCCGCTTTCCCGCCGCCGCTTCCTCACCTTGGTGATGTCCACCTTACCCATCCTCGGCACCTCAGAGGTTGAAATATAAAGCACTGATTTTTAGAAGTGCTTTTGAAATGTCTCAGCCGGTCAGGGTGGAGAGGGAACGCATTATCTTCAAATTCCTTGCCGCAGCTACAGCCTTATCTCTTTGCCACTAACGCCCCGGCTCCTGCCTCCTCTGTCTCCCCCAGATGAGGCAGCTGTGACAGTGTCGGGGGAAGCCACGGCTCTGACCGAAGCCTTCTCTCGACTTCCATTGCCATCTCCACAGGTGGGCTTTACAGCAGGGAATCCTGCTGCCTCGTTTTCCTTAGGAACCTTCTCGTTTTCTTTCCACCTTTTACACTCAAGCCAGGGGATTTATCTGTCAAATAAGATTGCAGTTCTCACCTCACGATTGTTGTTAAAAGCAAGTTGCCAAGTGCAGTACTTGGCGTAGGGCAGGCAGGTCTTATAAATACTGGTTCAGTCCGAAGTTCATCCTGGTTTTTTCCTTTCTGAATTTTGTTTAAAGAGCTTGCTGTTTGCTAGGTATTCTCATGATCCCTATCTGACAGAGGAGTAAGTAGGCCCAAAGGCTCCAGTTAAGGTAAGTAAGCAATGGAGCTAGGATTTAAGTTAGGGTCTATCTATCTAAGTTACACCTTTTCTGTTCTACATGATATCCTTTTTATATTGAATTATTTTTAGATTTAATTAGTAACGTATATAAATGTAAAATACAGAAATATCAAAGTTGAATGCTAAAAAGTTTGTATTTCCCCTCCCCACGTCCTTTTCTATTACTCCATATATTCTATGCATATACAAATAAGTGTGTATGTGCCTGCTTCTTCTTACACAAATGATAGGATACGCTAAGTACTTTTCTGGATCATCCTTTTTAAGAAAATTAACAACATAGCTTGTAAATTGTTGCTTAGAAGCATATATAAAGTTGCTCAGTTTTTATTAATGGCCGCATGGTCTTCAGTTGAGTGAGTATAACCATAATTTAGTTTACCAGTACTCTATATGGACATTTAAGCTGTTTTCAATTTGTAACTATTATAAACAATGCCTTGCTAAGTTGCCTAATACAGTCTTTGTGTGTGTATATCACTAAAAAAATACCCAGAAATAGAATTGTTAAAATAAAGATTTAATGCATTCTTTAATAACCTTTTATTATAAAAGTAATGAAAGTAAATATGTTGCCTGTGATAGAGTATGCTTTATGCCTGGTTTTTCCAGAGCTAGATACACTTAATTTAGGAGTAGATTTATTTAAAAATGACATTCATTGCCTTATTTGACTTCCATAGTCGATAGTGTCATTCTCTTTTTCAGTTTATCTATCCAGATATTTTGAAATGAAAATATACTCGTTTTTGCTGCACCTACAACGATACTCCCTCTCCCTCCACACCTCAGAGATCTATGATGAAGAAATGAGATAAATTGTATGAGAGCACTTAAAAAGCCTTGTGGAAGAAAGTCAGTATTTACTTCAAAGGGAGTAGTAAAAATACCTTATTTTTCCTTATTTGTTGACTCCTTCCTTTCAAATACACTTGGGACTTTCTGCTAAAATTCATAGCTAATAAGATACCCTGAGGAAGTAGCAAAGAACTGTTGTTCTATACATGTTCAGGACAGTGGTTCCACTCAGAGATAGAAAGTTAGAATTTGATTTCATTTGTATTATATATATTTGAATCACATTGCTTTCCTAGGATCTCAGCACATTTGTCCTACTAAAGAATGGCTTTTTTTTGTTGTTGTTCCAGTCCATATGGAATATGGAATTTTTATAAAATTATTTGTTTGGCTGTTGAAGTAATGTCAAATTGCCATAAAAGTTTCTAAACACTTGCTCCCAATCACTGTAATTACTTGTCCCAGACTGGTAACAGTTTATGAACTAGCACTGGACTGTGAGCTACATTTTGCTTAGCACTGGCTTAGAATTTAGCAGGAAGTGAGGACAAGGAAGATAAGGAAAAGCCAGTAACTGGTCAGAAGGAAAACAGTCAATACTGAGAATTATAGACTCCATGCTAATTACCGTTAAGTACATTGTGGTTCTGCTATAGAGACAGAGACAGAGAGATCAGACACCTGGTTAATGGTCTAAGATCAGGTTGGCAAGCTTTTTTGTAAAGGGCCAGATAGTAAATATGTTTAGGCTTTGCAGGCCGGCTACTTACATCTGCCCTTGTAGTGTGAACATAACTATGATAATGTGTAAATGAAAGAGTGTGGCTATGTCCCAGTAACACTTTATTTACAAACACTGGCAGTGGGCCTGATTTGGTGTGTAGAATATCAGGAATAAGTTTTTCCTGCTCTTCCTTAATGTTTTATTGAGTGGTCAGCTCAGTCTCTGTTGTGCAGCTAACTCCTCTGGTATGTGCCAAGAATAGCCTAACTCATAATAGACTTCAGAAAATGTTCTGTAAAGATATCTATTCTCTGCCACAGTAGTTGGGTTGACCATATTAATATAATCCATTTCTTTTTTTCTTTCTGAAATTGGTCTATCACCTCATAGGAAACCCAGATGTTCTGTGAACAGGTCCATGCTGCCATCAAGGCAATTATTGCAGCATACTATTCACTCCCCAAGGACCAGGGTAAGCCACCATGTACTCATAAATATTCTGTTTACAGAGTAGATCTTTGCTAATATGATAGCTCATGTCCTGAGACTTCTTACCTTTTCCTCAATTTGAGCATGTGATATAACTTTCTCCCATATAGTTTAGTCAAGGATAACTTTCTAACATCAGTGATCTCCATAAATAAGCTTTATGCCAAGGTACAGATGCTGTGTTCCCCTCTCTCCTGCCTTGCTTGACTCTTAAGGTTTTTGAATTGTCAGTGCTTCCCTCTCTAATCTATTATAATTGCCACAGATGCTGGCTGCATCTCAGCCCCATACTCATCCCCAGGTCATCCCTAGTCTACTCTACCCATATTACAGCACCCTCTGTTTCTGAGCTCCTTTACAGGTTAAGTGGCCTATAGCCCCGCCATGTTTAATGCCTTGATTTTACTCATGCCAAAGTTATAAATGAGTGCATGTCTCATTGATCTTCAGGGTTACTCACAAATGGTTTAAATTTCAAGTGTCTCATCCACAGTTGTCAAGGGACCTCTGTCCTTAATGAATAAACACATGCTGTCATGCAAAGATTGTGTTACTGATCTCTTTTGGAGAATAGCACTCAGGAGGAACAAGGAAATGATACGGGGATATAAATAAGACCCAAGTTTTGTCTTGGCACTTCAGGTAAAGCACAAAGAACCCATTACCTCAAGTTCTGTAGGACTTAGACTCTCTGGAAAGCAGATGGTGTCTTCTGGAGAGAAGACCAGGCTGCTTAGTCTTTGGGTTCGACTCTAGGAATCACCCTGAGAAAGCTGGTGCGGAGTGCCACTCTGGACATCGTTGATGGCATGGCTCAGCTCGTAGAAGTGCTTTTCATCACTCCAGCTCAGAGGTAGTGATGCCACAGTTGGGTTTCAGTTAATGGGGTTCCTTGCTTCAGGAAGGGAAAAAACTCATTTCAACAGCAGAGCTAATGACAGCTGAGAATAATGACCAGCAAGAGGGGGCTTTTCAGAAAAGAGGAACCTAGTTATTGATACATCCTTATTCATTCCTTTTCCCAGCCCCGAGAACAGCGACCTTATTTCCTGCAACAGTGTCTGGGTTGCGTGCCAGCAGGTGCCTCGGATACCAAGAGGTGGGTGAGAGTGGGAAGTGGGCCACTGACCATGCTGGCCAAAGCAGACAGACCTCACATACCTAACTTCCAGTTTTGTAGCATGTATGTGGAATATATACAATTTATAACCAACATCAAAAGATAAGTACTAATACTTTCTGTCAGTCTTTTTAGTTCTCACTTCTAAACTTACACTGCCCTCTTGCTTGGCCCTGTCTCTTGTTGAACAAGTTTGGTTTGTTCTTCTGGTCCTGCCCCAGGAGCAGTAACACAGGAACACTGAAGCAGTTACGATGTAGAGCCAGCTGGGCCAAAAACAGTAGTAGTCCAAGAGGACTGTATGAGAAACATCATGTGACCATTTTAATAGTTCTTGTGGTGAATGGTAAAAGGCTTATTAGGTCCCTTTGGCTACGCAGAGAATGTATGTGAGAAGAATTTTACATTAAACCACATGCTTGGCTGTCCCTCTCACTGTCCTCAAAGGGGAGTGCTGTTGGCTGCTGTTTGCAGAATTGTTCGTTATCTCCTCTAATTGTAGTGCTTCCCATTTTTCACTCCCAGATAACAAAGCTGCAGCCCTTTCAATGCTGACAAAGAGTGTGGATTTTGTGAAGGATGCACATGAGGAAATGGAGCGGGTGAGGGGACCTCTGTCATTGGAAGGCAACTCTGTGACTAATGGATGAGAAATGATTATAAAGAGGAGATATCCTGAGCATTGACCACACAGGTCCCATCCTCACTCTTGTCCTTCATCTCCCATTTCCTATCCTGTACCAGTGTGTGATTTAATACCACTCCCCTCTGTTCCATTGCTGGACTGGGAGAGAGAGAACAGGGTATCAACTCTGTAGCCATTAGTGAGGTTTTGGGACAACTCAGACATGTTTTTTGGCATTCATACATATCATGGTTCATCCTAGGCTATGGAAGAATGTGACCCTTACTGCAACCTCTTAAATGACACTGAGGAGGACAGCTCTGACAACCGTGGTGAGGAAGAGGATGAGGTGTTGGGGTGTCCAAACAATCGGGACTCGTATTGGTCAGAGGAAGATCAAGAGCTCATAATCCCATGCCTTGCACTGGTGAGAGCATCCAGAGCCTGCCTGAAGAAAATCCGGATCTCAGTGGCAGAGAATGGGAAGAAGGAGCAGGTGGCCCAGCTAGACGACATTGTGGATATTTCTGATGAGATCAGCCCTAGGTAAGCATGATTCCTACTTGAAATATCTGAGCACCAGGATTTTGATCTCAGCTTCTGCTTTCAATGTTCTTCCTTGGTGTTTTATTTTGAAAATGTTCAAACCTACAAGGAAGTTGAAGTATTGCAGTGCACACCCATACATCCTACATCTAGATTCACCTGCTGTTCACATTTTTTTCTACATTGTGTGGGATTAATATATAGTAAAGAAAGCACATCACAATCCTTGTTCTGTGAAGCTTACTCACAGTCTCCAGATCCTTGATGACATGACTCTTCTGAAAAGGGGAAAAATGACCAGAAGGCGAACGCACCCCAGTGTGTCCGGAACGCCAGGCATACAATAGGTCTTACGACTTCCCTTGTGTTTTTCTGCAATACGTAAATACTTCTCGCCAGCATCACGTCTCAGTGGGCTGGAGACTGCATGAGAGCTAAACACAGATTCAAGAACTGAGAGTGTGGAATTCCTGCTTGAATCCCTGCATGTATTCTATAGATGTTAATATTTACTTGCTCAATAAATGTGAGAAGTGCCTTCTTGGCATTACTCTTGTGCTGCAAAGCCTTGAGTCCCCTGGCTGGTCCTTTTAGATTTTCAGCATTCCGTTGCATTCCCCCACATCTGCAGGTCAGAAGTAAGGAGGGACCGACAACATTGCTTACTTCTCTGTAAGATAAATGAGCCATTTTTTCCCCTAAACGATGTGAGAGTAAGTTGCAAACATCAATGACATTTCACCCCTAAATACTTCAGTATGTATCCTTAGAACAGACATTCTTATTCTTAGCATTACATTCAGGAAATTTAACATTGGATAGAACAATATTACTTCACACTTAAATTTACTCACGTGTCTCTAATATGTCTTTCATACCTTTTTATCACCCTAAATTCAGGGTCCATCAGGGTGTTACATTGCATTTGGTTGTCATCTCTGTAGTCTCTCGCAACTAGAACAGTCCTCGTCCTTTTTAGTGTTTTTTAACATTGACATTTTTGAAGAATCTAGGTCAGTTGTCAGTTGTAGAATATCCAGCAATCTGGATTCATGTGATCATTTTCTCATGATTATAGGTTATGTTCAGGTTAAACACTTTTTGGCAAGAACATGACATAATTGAGTGTTTTGTCCTTCTCATTGCATTATACTAGGGAGGCATGTAATGTTGGTTTTTCCCTCATTGCTAGTACTAAATTTCATCATTTGGCTGAGTGGTACCCACTTTAGGGTCATTTCATGGATGAACCATGCCTGTATCAGTTATTCAATTGATTGTTTCAGATCCTTACATTTTTAACTGAACTAATCATGTCTCATCCTACAGGCCAAGGGTGTTTTTTTCTCCCAGCCTTCTAGTGAAACAGTATATATGTGTTTAGTAAATACCAGTTGAATTGATTTTGGTTGCCCAATTTAAGCAACTGATAGGCATTTTTCTGGGACAGTCATTTTCTCACTAGTCACATCTTTAGTCGTATATTGGAAGCCACCTAGTTGAGCTTTGCTCCTTGTTTTTGTTAATGGTTATTTTTGTTTTCTGCCCTTAGCGTGGATGATTTGGCTCTGAGCATATATCCACCTATGTGCCATCTGACTGTGCAAATCAATGTAAGTATTGTCTTTGAGGGAATTGCTGCAGACCTCAGTGGTAGGGTTTCATTAAATCACTAGTATTTCTTTTAAGGTATACCAAATATATCTATTATGCCTGGATGCAAGTAGAATAACAGTAGTGTCACAGTTCTTACATGTGTTTGTGCTTGATAAAATACTTGCCAAAGTTGAATTATAAAGCCATTAATTCTGGTAGTATTTCCTTCCATAACCACTTGGGTAATCATTTAGAAAAATCCAACAACCTTAGAAAATATTGCTTTGAAAAAAGAAAGTCTTAATTGCCACAGTGCTTTAGGGTCCTCCCAACCTGAAGTCATGTTTCCAGTACAGGCAGAAATAAGTGTTCCAGAAATATACTCTAGGATATGAACACATTGTGTTCTAATATAAGCACATTGTGTGAATTAACCATGAAGGGTCAAGTTCTTTATAAAAATCTAATTTTATTGAATTCTTTCGAGTCATGGGTCTTGTGCTAGACAGTGTTCATTATCTTATTTTTAGAAACTCAAGTTATCTCTGATGTGATTGGAAAGAAGTAAAACTGACAAATGGCTATATATTTTACAATCAGATATATCAATCCTAAAAATATTTAATAAAGTGGATAGTCCAAATTAGATTAATCAAATGTACCTTCACAGTGTGCAACACCTTGAAATAGAATAGGATCCTTTAGGACAGTAACTTTTTATTTTTTGCATTTGTGTTTTAAAAGTTGACTTCCTAAGAAATAAACATCTTCACAATAGGCCTTATAAATTACCGCAAATAAAAAATTTTAAATGTGTACTGTATATTGGTGGCACACATACATCCTCATGTTATCTTGTTATTGGTATTCTTAAAATTCTGTACTTAGATTTTTAAAAAAAGGAAACATTGCTTGTTTCTGCTCTGTATTCTGAGCTTGGGACAAATTAGTTTACATTCTAACTTCTTCTGTTTTTTTTTTTTAATTTAAAAATATTTTAAATTAAAATCTTAGGTATTTTAAATAGAAAACTTATAAAATGATATGGCAACAATATTAATAAGCTTTTCCTGCATGGAAAAAATCCATAATCCCACCACTGTAATCTAATCAGCATTTTTGTTACTGCATATATCCTTTGAGGTTCTTTTTTTATTATTTTTTATTACTTGAGTGTTTTAAAATATTTTGGCTCTCCTTTCCTTTTTATAATAGAGCTCAGGATGGGTGACTTCTCTGTTTCTTTTCTAGTCTGCAAAACTTGTATCTGTTTTAAAGAAGGCACTTGAAATTACAAAGTGAGTATGAGGACTTCTCCCTAAATAGCTTTTTGAGAGTAAACCTATCCAGCCATTCTCAACTCCCAAACCCCTGCTTAAAGGAATGGAAGTGGGTGGGTGTGGTGTTTTCTTTCACCTTAGTTGCGGAGCAGCTGAGTTTCTGCAAAGAAACTTGCCTTTTCTTACTGTAGTTTCCTCTGTGCTCCCTGTGGAGGATAGGTTTCCCCTTGACAGTATAATGAACTGAACTTCCCATTTTTCCCCTTCCATTTGCAGAGCAAGTCATGTGACCCCACAGCCAGAAGATAGTTGGATCCCTTTACTCATTAATGCTGTTGATCACTGCATGAATAGAATCAAGGAGCTCACTCAGAATGAACTTGAATTATGAGTTTTCAGGCTCATTTGTATTCTCCTCTCTTCTTTTCTTACTGTCACAGGCAGGCTCTGATGTCTGCTTTGAAAATGGGGCTACAATGTTTCTGAATCAAAAGGGAGTTGCTGTCTATATTTAGAAAGTGACACTGTTAGCAAAGTTTGTTGGCTAGGCTCTACTGGCAAAATAAACACTTAAGAGTTTGATATATTTTAATGAGCTAGATAACAAAAGATGATTGCATGAATTTGCATTCCTGAATCACCTCTCAGGGATCCTGGGGAAGCTGCCTTATTCCCTGCTTGCAATAAAGTGTGTTATTTCATTGTTAAAGAAGGTGATGGTCTCAATAAAGTGCTGACCTGCTAGTCGTTAAATGACTACCCTTCCAAAGTTTTTTCTACCAGAAAAACAATGGGTTCAGACTAATACATTACTTTCATTTGGGTTTATAGGTATAAAAATTGATTCTGATCAGAAATATATTTAAAACAAAAACACTTGACTTAAATTTATTTAGAGAAGATGCCTCCAAAGTCCCTCTTAGTACTTCAGCATGTTATATAATATCATTTTTCTTATCATTAAGTCCTTCTGAATATTATTCAAGGTTACTTCATGCATCTGCAATTATTTTTGGTATTGAGCTCATTTGTTAGGTTTGTCCGTCTTAATGCACAGGTTTGTTTTTCCTATATATGTGTCCCCAAGTGTAAATACAAAATTTTTACAGATCAAAAAAATTTTAATGTATAAGAGAGATTATATAATTTTAAGAGCCTCTTCAATTAATCCTTTTGCAAAACCGTCACCACGTGATTATATTTTTGCATCAGTTTGGAAGGTCACATATTGGAAAGCAAGGTAAGCCTGTAGTGGCGTATATGCTGGTGACGTGACTTGGGTCTTATACATATACTGCAGGTCTCTACAATCTCCAGTGCCAGTTCTTTTCCTTGTATAGGTGTAATTTACCACATCTACCCTTCTGATGTCCCCATGGTCTCTTTATGTATAATTAGCAACAGCAGCCATTCTTCTGAGCAACTAGTGTATATTTGGGGTTGAAATACCTTATATCAAGTAAGTTTTTTTTATAATTTTTAATTAAAGTGTAGTTGATACACAATAATATAGGGGCTTCAAGTATACAACATAGTGATTCAAGTTATCTACATTATTAATGCTCACCCCAATAAGTGTAGTTACTGTCAACATAGATATTTCAATATTGTTGAAGATATTCTCTTACGTTACACTTTTATCCCCATGACTAGTTTATATTATAATTGAGATTTTTTTGCCTCTTTATGCCCTTCACCTATTTCACCACCACCCCCATCCCTCCCATGGTAAGAACCAACCTCTTCTCTGTTTCTATGAGTCTATTTCTGTTTTGTTTGTTTTGTTTTGTTTTCTTAGATTCCACCTACAAGTGAAATCTTACAGTATTTATCTTTCTCTGCCTGGTTTATTTCACTTAGCATAATACTCTGAGTCAAATGAGTTTTAATTTATTTTTGTGAAGTACCATTCCGCACTTTTAACAAGTGTCAAAGAAAAGGAACTAAAATCAAACAGTGCCAAAGCAACAAAACAATGTAAACAAACAGGAAGTCATAACTGTACAAAACGAGTCCAGTTCTTTTTTCTTATACAGCCTATTTTCTATGTACCAAATAATATTCATATTTCTTTACTGGACCAATTTCATGTTACTAACATCAGACTTTAATTGTGGGATACTTAATGAATATAGAAGTCTAATAAAGACATCAATAGCTGAATCTAGAAGACCATTCTACTCTCAAGTCCTGTGTTGTAAATGTTTTAACTTTGTTCAGTCATCTTTGGATCTTTAAGGATAATGGTCAGGAATAACAACAATAAATAGTTTTAGGATTACTTAAAATTCCCATTTCAACAGAAATGCAAGAGTGACTTAAATGTTAGGCTCTTTTTCTTACTCATAATGTGTTAGTGAGTAGCAAAATGCTTATAAAAAACCCTCAGTCTGAGAAATCTGAATGTACTTAGCCAAATGCCTTTCCAAAGGCTTCTTTTTGTCACTCAAGCCCAGTAGTTGCTCTTCTAAGACAACCAGTCTTCCTAGATGCTTTAAGCTGGGGTGACAGAAAGGAATGTCTTTTGTTTTGATTTCTGGGAATCTAGTTTTGTTCTTGGTCACTGTTCTCAACCTGAGTGGAGAGTTACTTGTCTGATAAGCAGTTTCCCTTCCCAGCACGTTTGGTTTTAGATTACAGATTCAAGGGGGTGGGCTGGAGAAAGTGATGCTAGAGCTGCGAGTTCACACCGGAGGGGGCCACCACAGTGACACTTCTGTAATTGGTTAGGTTCTGGAACACGTTGCAGTCCATTTCCACAGTGAGTCTCTGGAGCCCCACCTTTGTTGGCGTGAACTGGAATTGGGTACGCAGAGTTTTTCTGGGCTGCACCAAACCTAATCTGAAATACAGGAAAAGGTAGGTGCTAGTTCTGTCCCAGGTTCATTGCATTGCTGGTCCCAGTGACTGATCCTTCGCTACTTGAAGAGGTAGACTATGAAGAAAGAAACATTTTCGTACCTTGCTGCTAAGAAGAGGGTTTAAGGGAGTGGAAGACAGGACCCTCCCTAAGGGGAGCAATTGCTGGTTGGGAAGAGAAACATCCTCTTCCAAGGGCATCCAAGCTGTGTCTGTTTGTATTATCACCTGTGACTTCAGTGTAGTCCCACTCTTGGTAATAGTACTGAAGTGTGTTTGGAAAGGCTATAGTTCTAGAACCTTCACATTGCTAAGTGCAGTGGGTACAGTGGGCATATGGAGAGAAATGTCACTATGTCAACAGGTGGTGTTTGGAGCCCAATCAGCAACTTCCTGGCCTGACTGAACCTTTCTATGGTGACTGAGGGAATAGTGCAGATTTTCTTTGAGGAGCTTTGCCCCATAATTGATCTGGGATCCCACAAAAGTCTGGTTAAATGTTGGCAGTCCCTCCTCCCAACTTATTGGCAGGAATGATTCATTGAGTTTCATGAGGCTGAGGCAGTGGTTCAGTAACCAGACAACCTGTCACATACCTCAGGGACATAAGAGTAGGCATCAGGACCTCTATACTGTGTGTTTAACAAAAGACGTGGTGGACAGGAGAGGAGAGGCAATGAAAGAAGATACTTGCAACATTTAAAACCAACAAGGGACTAATACCTAGCCTATACAGGGAACTCCTACAGGAAATCAACAAGAAAAAAAGGCAGAAACAACAAAAGAAATGTGCTTTTTTATAAAGGAGGTGACAGAAAAGGCTAATAAACATTTAAGGAGTTACGTGTTAAAACAGTAATGAGATACTACCTTATTTCTATTAGAATGGAAAAAAAAGAAATCTGGGTATTGCTAAGAATGGAGGAATGGTAAGAATAAAGAAACTCATGTGCTGCTGGAGGGAATGCAGACTTCTGCAGCCATTCTGCAAAGAAATCTGGTAGTACCTGCTCAAACCAGGTGATATCCTGTGACCCAACAATTCCATTCCTGGGCATATATATTCCCTCCCTACCACCCCACAGTTTCAAACAAGTGTATGAGGGGACATGTGTAAGGAAGTCCATTGCAACAGTATCTGTGTTGTCTGAGAGGTGGAGTCACTCCGGGTGCCCACCATGGGAGAGCGAAGTGGTAGAAGTAGAAGATGCAGAAAAAAAGATGGCGCATGAGAGGAGAGACAGAGGCTTCCTTCTAAAACTGGATATAATTAGAAAATATAGTTGGCGCAACTAATCCTGAGAGCAACAGGAAAGAGGACGATGCCAGACTGCATACACCTGCAGAAAAGAGCAGACCTCACAGAACAGGGTAATGTACCAAGGCTGTGCCCAGGTGGGACCCAAGCCCTTCCCCCACCAGAGATCACCGGTGGGAGGAAGAGAAACAGAGCAGGGAGGGAGTGGATTGCTGGGACTGCTGAATACTTAGCTTCGGAGATGTGCTCTGGGAGCACAAACCTACATTTCATGGTGCTTTCATGATACTCACATGACGACTGGGTTGGAAAGTTAATAGAGGCAGAATTCCTGGGGATACTGAGATTCCAGCCGGTTGTGGAAAGCCGGGATCCATATCCAGCTGCTCTGGGACAAAAGCGTATACCTGTGTGCTCGGCCCACTGGTTAAGGCAGTGGAGACAGGCACAGCACCCGGGAAGTGAGAAACAGCTCTTTCCTTCCCCCAGGCACCATTACCGCTCCCTTGCAACCCCCGACATTGCTTCAGGGGCTGAGCAGCTCCAGAGTAGAGCTTCTGGACACTAGAGGGCGCCACATACAAATATGAAATGCCAAAGAAACCTGGTCCAGAGTAAAATTAATATAACTCAGGAGAAAGATTTAAATGACATGGACCTTATGACTCTTCCTGAAAGGGAGTTCAAAATAAAAATCATCAACATGCTAATGCAGGTACAGAAAGATATCCAAGAACTCAGGAATGAATTTAGAACAGAGATCCAATTGCTGAAGAGCACGATTGAGGGTATTAAAAGCAGGTTGGATGCAGTGGAGGAGACGATAAATGAAATAGAAAGTAGAGAAGATGAATACAAAGAAGCTGAGGTACAGAGAGAAAAAAAGGATATCTAAGAATAAAAGAATATTGAGAGAACTGTGTGACCAATCAAAATGGAACAATATTCGCATTATAGGGGTACCAGAAGAAGAAGAGAGAAAGAAAGGGATAGAAAGTGTCTTTGAAGAGGTAGTTGCTGAAAACTTCCCCAATCTGAGGAAGAAGATAGTCTTTCAGGCCATGGAGATCCACAGATCTCCCAACACAAGGGACCCAGGGAACACAACACCAAGATATATAGTAATAAAATTGGCAAAGATCAAGGATAAGGACAGACTGTTAAAACCAGCCAGAGAAAGAAATAAGATCACATACAAAGGAAAGCCCATCAGGCTAACATCAGACTTCTCAGCAGAAACCTTACAGGCCAGAAGAGAGTGGCATGATGTATTTAATGCAATGAAGCAGAAGGGCCTGGAACCAAGATTACTTTATCTGGCAAGATTATCATATAAAATGAAGGAGGGATTAAACAATTTCAAGATAAGCAAAAGCTGAGAGAATTTACCTCCCACAAACCATCTCTACAGTCTATTTTGGAGGGACTGCTATAGATGTCAGTGTTCCTAAGGTTGAATAGCTGTCACCAGAGGAAATAAAACCACAGTAAAGAAAGTAGAACAGCTAACTACTAAGCAAATGCAAAATTAAATTAACTATCCCCAAAGTCAATCAAGGGATAGACAAAGAATACAGAATATGATACCTAATATATACAGAATGAAGGAGGAGGAAAAGAAAAGAAACTTTAGATTGTGTTTGTAACAGCATATTAAGTGAGTTAAGTTAGACTCTTAGATAGTAAGGAAATTAACCCTGAACCTTTGGGAACCACAAATCTAAAGCCTGCAATAGCAATAATTACATACCTATTGATAATTACCCTAAATGTAAATGGACTGAATGCACCAATCAAAAGACATAGAGTCACTGAATGGATAAAAAAACAAGACCTATCTATATGCTGCCTGCAAGAGACTCACTTTAAACCCAAAGACATACACAGACTAAAAGTGAAGGGATGGAAAAAGATATTTCATGCAACTAACAGAAAAAAGCAGGAGTTGCAATACTTGTATCAGACGAAGTAGACTTCAAAACAAAGTAACAAGAGACAAAGACAGACATTACATAATGATAAACAGGTCAATCCAACAAGAAGATAGAACCATTATAAATATCTATGCTCTCAACACAGGAGCACCCACATATGTGAAACAAATACTAACAGAATTAAAAGGGGAAATAGAATACAATGCATTCATTTTAGGAGACTTCAACACTCCACTCACTCTGAAGGACAGATCAACCAGACAGAAGATAAGTAAGGAGACAGAGGCAGTGAACAACACAATAGAACAGATGGACCTAACAGACTCTACAGAACTCCCCACATCTACAGAACTCTACATCCAAAAGCAATAGAATACACATTCTTCTCAAGTGCACATGGAACATTTTCAAGAATAGATCATATACTAGGCCACAAAAAGAGCTTCAGTAAATTCAGAAAGATTGAAATTGTACCAACCAGTTTCTCATATCACAAAGCTATGAAACTAGAAATAAATTATGCAAAGAAAATGAATAATCCCACAAACACATGGAGGCTTCACAACATGCTCCTAAATAACCAATGGATCAATGACCAAACAAAAACAGAGATCAAGCAATATATGGAGACAAATGACAACAATAATTCAACACCACAAAATCTGTGGGATGCAGCCAAGCTGTGCTAAGAGGAAAGTATATTGCAATACACGCCTACCTCAAGAAAGAAGAACAATTCCATATAAGCAGTCTAAACTCACAATTAATGAAACTAGAAAAAGAAGAACAAATGAGGCCCAAAGTCAGTAGAAGGAGGGACATAATAAAGATTAGAGCAGAAATAAATAAAATTGAGAAGAATAAAACAATAGAAAGAATCAATGAAAGCAAGAGCTGGTTCTTCGAGAAAATAAACAAAATAGATAAACCCCTAGCCAGATTTATCAAGAAAAAAAGAGAGTCTACACACATAAACAGAATCAGAAATGAGAAAGAGAAAATCAATACAGACACCACACAAATACAAATAATTATTAGAGAATACTATGAAAAATTCTCCAACAGACTGGATAACCTAGAAGAAATGGACAACTTTCTAGAAAGATACAACCTTCCAAGGCTGACCAAGGAAGAAACAGAAAATCTGAACAGACCAGTTACCAGCAATGAAATTGAAATGGTAATCAAAAACCTACCTAAGAACAAAATCCCTGAACCAGATGGCTTCACCGCTGAATTTTATCAAACATTTAGTGAAGACCTAATACCCATTCTCCTTAAAGTTTTCCAAAAAATAGAAGAGGAAGGAATACTTCCAAACTCATTCTATGAGGCCAGCATCACTCTAATAACAAAACCAGGCAAAGACGCCACAAATAAAGAAAATTACAGACCAATATCCCTGATGAACATAGATGCAAAAATACTCAACAAATTATTAGCAAACCAAATTCAAAAATAAATAAAAAATATCATTCATCATGATCAAGTTGGATTTATGCCAGGGATGCAAGGATGGTACAACATTCAAAAATCCATCAACATCATCTACCACATCAACAAAAAAAAGGACAAAAACCACATAATCATCTCCATAGATGCTGAGAAAACATTTGACAAAATTCAACATCCATTCATGATAAAAACTCTCAACAAAGTGGGTATAGAAGGCAAGTACCTCATCATAATAAAGGCCATATATGACAAACCCACAGCCAACATTATATTTAACAGCAAGAAGCTAAAATATTTTCCTTTAAGATCGGGAACAAGACAAGGATGCCCACTCTCCCCACATCTATTCAACATAGTACTGGAGGTTCTAGCCACAGCAATCAGACAACACAAAGAAATAAAAGGCATCCAGATTGTCAAGGAAGAAGTTAAACTGAACCTGTTTGCAGATGACATGATACTGTACATAAAAACCCCTAAAGAATCCACTCCAAAAACTACTAGATCTAATATCTGAATTCAGCAAAGTTGCAGGATACAAAATTAATACACAGAAATCTGTGGCATTCCTATACACAACAATGAACTAGCAGATAGAGAAATCAGAAAAACAATTCCATTCACAACTGCATCAAAAAGAATAAAATACCTAGGAATAAACCTAACCAAGGAAATGAAAGACCTATAGTCTGAAAACTACAAGACACTCATGAGAGAAATTAAAGAAACTACCAATAAATGGAAACACATCCCATGCTCATGGATAGGAAGAATTAATACTCTCAAAATGGCCATCCTGCCTAAAGCAATCTATAGATTCAATGCAATTCATATCAAAATACCAACAGCATTCTTCAACAAACTAGAGAAAATCATCCTAAAATTCATATGGAACCGCAAAAGACCTCAAATAGCCAAAGCAATCCTGAGAAGGAAGAATAAAGCAGGGGGAATTACACTCCCCAACTTCAAGCTCTACTACAAAGCCACAGTAATCAAGACAACTTGGTACTGGCACAAGAACAGACCCATAGACCAATGGAATAGACTAGAGAGCCCTGATATAAACCCAACCATATATGGTCAATTAATATATGATAAAGGATCCATGGACATACAATGGGGAAATGACAGCCTCCTCAACAGCTGGTGTTGGCAAAACTGGACAGCTACATGCAAGAGAATGAAACTGGATTATTGTTTAACCCCATTACACAAAAGTAAACTCGAAATGGATTAGAGACTTGAATGTAAGTCATGAAACCATAAAATTCTTAGAAGACAACATAGGCAAACATCTCCTGAATATAAGCATGAGCAACTTCTTCCTGAACCATCTCCTCAAGAAAGGGAAACAAAAGCAAAAATGAACTCATGGGACTACATCAAACTAAAAAGTTTTTGTACGGCAAAGGACATCATCAACAAAACAAAACGGCATCCTACAGTATGGGAGAATATATTTGTAAATGACATATCCAACAAGGGGTTAACATCCAAAATATATTAAGAACTTACACACCTCAACACCCAGAAAGCAAATAACCCAATTAACAAATGGGCAGAGGATAAGAAGAGACGGTTCTCCAAAGAAGAAATTCAGATGGCCAACAGACACATGAAAAGATGCTCCACATCACTAACCATCAGGGAAATGCAAATTAAAACCACAATGAGATATCACCTCACACCAGTAAGGATGCCCAGCATCGAAAAGACTAAGAACAGCAAATGCTGGTGAGGATGCTGAGAAAGAGGAACCCTCTGACACTGCTGGTGGGTATGTAAGCTAGTTCAACCATTGTGGAAAGCAATATGGAGGTTCCTCAAAAAACTAAAAATAGAAAGACCATTTGACCCTGGAATTCCACTTCTTGGAATATACCCAAAGAATACAACTTCTCAGATTCAAAAAGACAGATGCACCCCTATGTTCATCGCAGCACTTTTTACAATAGCCAAGATATGGAAGCAAGCTAAGTGTCCATCAGTAGATGAATGGATAAAGAAGATGTGGTACATATATACAATGGAATACTATTCAGTGATAAGAAAGAAACAAATCCTACCATTTGCAACAACATGGATGGAGCTGGAGGACATTATGCTCAGTGAAATAAGCCAGGCGGAGAAAGACAAATGCCAAATGATTTCCCTCATTTGTGGAGTATAACAGTGAAGCAAAACTGAAGGAACAAAATGGCAGCAGACTCAGAGACTCCAAGAATGAACTAGTGGTTACCAAAGGGGAGGGGTGTGGGAGGGTGGGTGGGGAGGGAGGGAGAAGGGGACTGAGGGGTATTATGTTTAGTACACATGGTGTGGGGGATCATGGGGAGAACAGTGTATCACAGAGAAGGGACATAGTGGATCTCTGGCAACTTGCACTGATGGACAGTGACTTCATATGGGTACGGGTGGGGACTTGATACTATGGGTAAATATAGTAACCACATTGTTTTTTCATGTGAAACCTTCATAAACGTGTATATCAATCATACCTTAATAAAAAATTTAAAAAGAAAAGAAGTAGAAGATGTATACAGTGGAATATTATGTAGCAGAGACAATGGACTTGACCTACATGGGTGAATCTTAAAAACAGTTCTGAGTGGAAAGAAAAAGGATTAGACATAACATCATTTACAGAAGTTGAACATTTGGGCTTATGAAGCAATAGTACACATGTTACACATAATAATGAAAAGATACACATATTAAAAAATGAAGGGTGGTGGTGGGAATAGGAGGAGGGAATAGGAATAAAAGGAAATATGTAAATAAGATGTTATATTGTGGTGGTCATGAGGCAGCCTGGCCTCCCTGTGATATTTCTGTGCCCAGCCCTAACCCCCTGCCTGCAACCACCAGCAATACCCAGGCCCTTTATTCAGGACCAGGGCAGCAACCAGGGTCAGGAGGGTGCCCGTGGGGCACACAGTCTGCCCCACTCCCATCCCCCTGTAGACATGGTGGCACCAGGAGGAGGCCTAAATCCTTTAGTTCAGCTTCTAGGGGTAGTACCTCTGTCTCTATGGACAAGGCAAAGACAGTCATTAATCTTGGGTGCCTCCCTTTCTGGCCAGTTGAGATGTGTCATTGAGATGAGAAGCTTGCATTCTTACCTGTAGCTCCTCTCCCTGTGAATGAGCCCCCTTCCGAAGATGGAGATCCTACAGTCCTCCATGGGAACATCTAGGAAGTTATGGACGCTGACTGACACCTTTAGGGGTTGGTACTGCTCTGCTGTCTCTGGCATCTGTTGGAAGAAGCAAAACCTGGAGCAGGTGCCAAGAGCACAGAGCCACCGTTACTCCTTCCCCTCCCAGGCTCCCACTCCATACCCTCCTCAGTTACTTTTTATCTCTGCCATCTTGACCCAAACTCCACAGCTGACTTCTTCAGCCCTCTACCTGGTCCTTCCACTTTTACTCTCATGCTTAATCCATCACCGACCATCTCCGATGGAGCCTCACCTCCACTTAGAGACCTTGGAGGGTTTCCCGCTGTCTTCAGAATCCAGCTTCAGTCGGCGTTCAGAGCCCTTGTGGTCTGACCTCAACCCACCTCTCCAGCATTGCTTGACAGCATATTCTTGGCTTGACTAAATGACATCCTAGCCATGTTAGCATTTTTCCATCCCCAGAAAACCCCTCAAATTCCATTCATTTGGGCCTCTTTGCTCAGTCTTCTCCCTGCAATGGCTTTCCTCCACTTCAGCACTAAAAGTTCCCCATTTTTCAAGGCCCAGCATAAATGACATCTCCTCCATGAAGTCTTTCTCAAACCCATTAGCTGGAATTAATCCCCTTTACTTCACCTATCCCATAGTGACTTTGAATATGTATTAAAGCACTTAAATAAAAGACCAAGTAGTATTGGGTCTCCCTTACCCAGCTATAACCTCCTTGAGGGCAGGGATCAGGCTGCATTCCCTTTGGCCAGGATAGACATGTGGGAAGTAGACTGGACCAAGAGCCATCAGCCTCTAAAATGTCCCATTTTTATGATCTTGGGCATGTTGCTCTCTAAGACTGCTTCCTCACCTGAATAATGGGAGTAGTTCCACCTCACAGGGCATTTGTATTAAAAGAAATAAAGGAGGTGAAAATACATTGGCATATGTACAAAGTGCTAGTTAAACACAGGCTTTAATATCCCTTTAAGTATGGAAGAGCAACTGGGAGGCCCCAACTTTAGAAACTTTTACTTAGCCAACAAAAGAAGGTATTAACTTGATACCAGCTCTTTCAAGAGAAGGAGCTCTCAACCCAGCAGTTTCTGGTAATCCTGCAGCATGGTTGCCTGCTCTGAAGCTTAAGGGACTCTAATCCCTTCTGAAATGGGGACCTGAATAGTAACAAACAAGAGAAATCTGGAGAAGGACTTGTACTTACCTCAATGACAAGGCGTGGTCTACAAATGGCGATGTCTTCCTGAGCAAAGCAGGTAAGGCCAGACTTGGAGTGTGTTGCCATGGCTGTGAGCCTAAGGAAACTGTTCTCTGGGGGGCTTTGATCAAAAGAGGCACAGGACAGGGTGGTGGTGGCTGTCTTTGCTGAAACACAGGACGGGCGGTTTGTCAGTGCAAGGGATGAGTGTGTGTGCCCTGGGAAAAATAGTTCCTCACAGAACGTCAAGGAGTCCAGTTCTCACTGAAGCCAGAAAGACACCTCGTTCCTCACAGCAATTTCAAACTCTCAGCTCACCCAAAACCCACCCCACCATCACCATCACCACCTCCACCAACACTCTAGGAGATCCGCCCTCAGTGGGGCTATGGTGAGGTTGCTGTGAACTAGATTGAGTTAAGTCCTTTTGGCCTCAGTCTCCTTGTCTAACAATAAGGCCTACCTATAAAGAGCTCACGTACCTCAACAAACAAAAAGCAAATAATCCAATTAAAAAATGGGCAGGGGGTCTGAACAGACACTTCTCCAAAGAAGAAATTCAGATGGCCAACAGGTACATGAAAAGATGCTCCATATAGCTAATCATCAGAGAAATGCAAATTAAAACCACAAATCACCATCCAAAAGACAGACAACAACAAATGTTGGGGAGGATGTGGAGAAAAGGGAGCCCTCCTACACTGCTAGTGGGAATGTAAATTACTTCAGCCATTGTGGAAAGCAGTATGGAGGTTCCTCAAAAAACTCAAGATAGAAATACCATTTGACCCAGGAATTCCACTCCTAGGAATTTACCCTAAGAATGCAGGAGCCCAGTTTGAAAAAAACATATGCAGCACTGTTTACAATAGCCAAGATGTGGAAGCAACCTAAGTGTCCATCAGTAAATGAAAGGATAAAGAAAATGTGGTACATATACACGGTGGAATAAGAAAAAAACTCAGCCATAAGAAGAAAACGAATCCTACCATTTGCAACAACATGGATGGAACTGGAGGTTATTATGCTCAGGGAAATAAGCCAGGTGAAGAAAGACAAGTATCAATTGATTTCACTCATATGTGCAGTATGAGAACAAAGCAAAAGCTGAAGGAACAAAACAGCAGCAGACTCACAGAACCCAAGAATAGACTAACAGTTACCAAAGGGAAAGGGACTGGGGAGGATGGATGGGAAGGGAGGGTTAAGGGGGAAAAGGGGACATTACGATCAGCACACATAATATAGTGGGGGGGGGCACGGAGAAGGCAGTACAACACAGAGAAGACAAGTAGTGATTCTATAGCATCTTACTACGCTGATGGACAGTGACTGTAATGGGGTATGTGGTGGCAACTTCACAATGGGGGGAGTCTAGTAACCATAATGTTGCTCATGTAATTGTACATTAATGATACCAAAAAAAATAATAATAAGGCCTACCTGGTGGGATGGCTTATGTTAAATGAGATTCTGAATGCTTATCTCAGACCCTGCTATGTAGTCGTTGTTTAATATGACTTTAGTGCCTTCCCATTCTCTGCTGCTTCTCTTGACCTTTGGCAGAGAAAATGAAGATATCCTTCATCCTTGAGCAGTCTTTGCAAGCTCATGTTCTCATTCCCTAACTGTAGACATAGACATCTACCCCAGCTGCCAACACCCCCAACAGGGTGAGGTATCTCCCTGGCCCAAGGTAAGTCCTCTGCTTTTAAAATCTGTGCTCTATCCTGACCCCCATCCCTACTGCTTAGCTGTGTAACTTCAGGCAAATTATTTAACCTCTCTGTGTCTTGGTTTCCTCCTCTGTACAGTGGAGACAATAATGGTTCCTGCCTTAAGGCTATTGTGAGGATGTGAGATAATGCATATGATCACTTAATACCATTTTGCCAAAAATAAGTGCACAATAAATGTGAACAATACTTATTCTAGTTGTCTCTCCCATCTCCAATGAGATTGCACCTTCAGTAATAACCCATCTTTCCTGAGACTTCAGACTTTCTTGCTTTGCTGATTATTTTCTTCAGCATGGAAGCTTTTCAGCCTTGACATGTTGGGCTGCTCTGCTGACCTTGCTGGGTGCCTCCTTCCTCTCTCTGACCTCTCCATCTCCCTTACTCTCTGCTCCTCCCTGAGTGCCCCCTACACACTGGTGCTGCCGGGTTCCCCCCTCACCTTCTATCTTTTCACAGTCCTTCTCCCACCCCGGTGAGCACACTGATGCCCTGACTCTCCGCTGTTCCCTCTGTGCTGAGATTCCCACATCTGGTCTCCAGCCCAGGCCTTTACCTTGAATACCAGGTTTAGGTTTCCAGCTACCTACTAGCCATCTCTGCTCGGTGTCTCATAGGATTTTCAACCTGATACACCACAGACAGAGCTCGTCATCCTTCTCTCCAAACTGCTCTCCCCACAATTTACCCTGTTCTGGAGGCTTATCCAAACTGGAAGCAGTCCCCCCACGCCCCCCATATACACATATTCACAAGTCAAATCTACCCCATCTCTTTAATATCTCTTCAAAGTGCTACTAGTTTAGTCTGTCCTTTGTTCCTTGATGTGATTATTACAAAACTTTCCAACTTCCAGTCCTGTGGTTCTCAACTTTGAATGTGCATTACAACCAGATGGGGAACTTTATAAAGCAATCCCAGTGCCAGGCCCCACACCAAATCAATTACATCAGATATGGCAGTGAGGCCTTGGGATCAGTATTTTTTCAAGTTCCCCAGTGATGCAACATGTAGCCAAGGTTGAGAAACACTACTCTGACTCCTTCCATTCCATTCTTCCAAAAGTTTTGTTTATATTTTTTAATGAATTTCTGATCACATTAACTTTACCGGTTAAAGCCTTTCCCTGGCTCCACATTGCCAAGAGAACAAAACCTAAAATCCTTGGCATGAAATGCAAGGCCCTGTATGATCTGGCCTCATCCAGCTCTCAGCCACTTCCCCACCTCCACCCTTCCCATCCTTGGAAAGGGAATATGGTGGAGAGACTAGAGGCAGGGGGCCAGTTAGGAGGCTATCACAATAAGGCAGACAAGCTCTAGCTCACTGGTTCTCCCTTGCCTGCACATTGGAATCACCCAAGGTTATTAAAATTGTATTGATGCTCTGGTCCAACCATAGGGTTTCTGATTTAATTGGTTTAGGGTACAGGCTGAGCATCAAACCTTCCCAGGTTATTCTGATGTGCAGCAAAGTTGAGAATGATTACTCTTGTCCAGGAATTTTGACCCTAGAATAACAGGGAGATTTTTTTAAAATACCAGTGTCTGGACCACACCCCCAGACTAATAAATGAGATTCTCAGGGAGAAGGAGGAACCCATGCCTACATCAGTTCTTCTGCCTAGAATGCCCGTGGCTCACTTTTCTGTCCATCGCACTCTTACTCATCCTTTAGGACCCAGGGCAGTCTGGTTTACTTGGGGACAGCCTGCTCGAGCCATGAGATACTCTCCTGCCGGTGTACTGCTTCCCTCATCAAACACTTCTGACGCTGTTACCATAATCTGTTTATGTATCTGATGAAAGCTGGAATTGTGGGGGTTTTTTCTGTGTGAAGCTCAATAAATACATGTTGAATTACAGAGAGAGAGAGAGAGACTGTGTGAAAGAGAGTGCACAAGGGCCTAGAAGCCATCTCCTCAGTGCTGCAGGGGCTGCCCTATGGCTGCTGCCTGTCCAGGGTAGGAGCTGGGTGTGGGGGTATCTGGTGGGGCCACAAAGAGTTACCTGTGTTGGCAACGAGTGTAAATGTTGCCTTCTTCCTCCAGAGCTCGGCAGCAAGGATGCCATTGTAGTACATGGCCTGCACGCAAACTGCCAGCTGTACCACCATGTCCTGGTCGCTGGGGTTAATCAGGGTCACTGAGAATGGGACATCCCCTCCCAGGAATAGGGAGCTGGGCACTTCCAAAAGCAGGTACAGAGGATTGGCAATCTTGAGAGTGGGAGGACTGGTGCCACTGTCTTCCCCAGGTTCCATTCTCTCCTTCTGGACTCTCTCCAGCACCTCTTTTTCTTGAACAGATCCTGGAGAATGACAGAAACAAAGCAGACCTCTTACCTGAGATCCTTATAATAAAAGCTCATGATTAAGATTCATTTCCCTACTGCAGCTCAAATGCCAAAGCCACATGAGCTTTGCAAACCTTTAAGGCTATATTTAGCCAGAAGAGGTCTGTGTTGGGCTGACCCAGCACAAATACAGCATGTCTCTTCCAAGTTACTCAAGAACCAAGTTCTTCAAGGGTTATGCATTTGCCCCTTGCATGGTGGTACCGTAAACTTTTGGATAAGTCACTGTCTCTGAGAACAGTTTTGCAGAGACCTGAATCTTCCTAAGTGAGGGAGTTTGAGCTTATTCCAAGGGAATGGGGGCCATGAGATATTCTGGAGCAGTAGAGTAACATAGTTACATTTGTGTCTTAGAAAACTCATTCTAGAAACTGGAAGTGGGAAAGGGAACACTGATGGAGAGACTGGAGGTTGGGCATCCAGTTAGGAGACTGTTGTAATACTGCAACAAGAGATGATGAGGCTCTGGGTTACCTAGAGGCAATGGGGAAGGAGATGAGGAGAAGGACATGAGAGTAATGGGGGGACATGAAGGGAGAAGAGTTGAGGAGAGGGTGAGCCTTCTTATTTGGACAAATAGGTGGATGGTGGTGCCATTAACTAATATGGAAGATGGGACAGGTTGGGGGTGATGGGGAAAGGGGTTGAAAGTGAGGAAAGATGACTTCTGGCAGTGGGGCGGGGTAAAATGTGTTGTTTTATAGTAGTGATTCCCAACTGGGAGCAACTTTGGAAATGTCTGGAGGTACTTTTGGTTGTCTCAGCTGGTGGTAGGTGTGTGTGTGCTGGCATCTAGTGGATAGAGGCCAGAGGGCTACTAAAAGTCAGCCACAGGATGCACAGCCCCCACAACAAAGAGTTATCTAACCCAAAATGTCCATTGTGTCAAATGGGGTTAGAAGCTCTGTTTCCTATGCTGAGGAAGACTGTGACTCTCTGGCTAGCATCTGGCCCACTACTTCTCCCTGTTGCTGCTTCCTGTGGTGGGAAGCCAGAACCCCCTGCCCAGTACCTTCAGGGTACTTGTAGTTCTGAGTGATGTCCTCACAGCGGTCACAGCCCACACACTTGGTACTAATGTTGTTGCCAAGGTACTTAGTGTTAGAGTCGGTCAGCTCCAGGGTCCCATCCTCACGGCACTTCCAGACCACACATGAGGCATTTACTGCAGCAAAAAGGTCCAATACTGTAGGGGTCAGTCCCAGTATCCCCTCTTTGATGGCTCTGACCGGGACCAGATCACAGGCCTCCAGGACTGAGGGAGAGAAAGGTCAGTGAGAAGAGAAGCCACCCCAGACTTCAGCTTGGGTTAGAGCTACAGAACCTACCCCCATCCTAGACCCTCTTGTCCTCCCTCGGGAGCAAAGTCAGAGGTGGGCACTAGGCAGAGTTTCTGCAAGGGCACAGCAGAGGTGAAACTAGAGCTATTTAGTGCCAGTACTTTTTAGTCATGGCCTGTAGTGGAAGCCCTCTCAGAAACTGGACAGGTAGAGCCTCCGAGGAACATAGCCCATAGGATTTCCATAGCCAGCTTTCCTGTGGATACGACAGGACCCAGTCACCTTTACTGAGCATTCATTATATGCCAGGCTCTATGATGAGTCTGTTCCTGGGGAAAGAAGAGCCATCCTTGTATGGCTCCTGAAAATTTCTTCTCTGAGCTTGAGCCTTTCCTGATACCCTCTTTATCCATATCCATAACCTCAGAAGTCCCACCCTACAAGCCCCTGAGCCAGCATACCCACCAGCTACCTTAAGACCCTCTGCCCTTCACTGAGACTCAGCTCCCTTGCCTGCTGCTCTGAAGTGGGGCTAGTCTCCCCAGCCTTGGGCCGAGATGGCTAACACCTCTGTTGCTTTGAGCCCACTAGCATCAGGTCAGTGTTCTGCTAGCCGCTATCATTCCTTCTGCTTCTGTTTTAGGGGATGCGGACCCCTTTTGGACCACCCACTGCTCCTGTTTCCTCTCCAAGGAGCAACATCAGCTTGTGCAGTTCTCTGCAGCTCAGGGTGGCCCTGGGCCTACCCCCAGGCTTTGCCTCTACCTCCATCACGAGCAGTTGGGTTCAGAATCTGCCATCTGCTATAACCAGGCAAATCAGGCCGGCTCATCCAGCACTCTGTGTACATCTGGAAGATCCTGAAGGTAGTAAAGGGAACAATTCAAGTGGGGAAAAATGAGTCTTGAAGAGGTTCTAGAAATGGCAGTGTTGTGGTTGTCATGCGGATGGGAGGGCACTGTGGAAAAGTGGCTGCAGCACTTTCAGGAAGAGGGGTGCATGCCACGACTGACCACCAGTGTCCTGCCTCCAAGAATCTTGAAGGCCCTCGCTCAGTTCCAGGGCCACTTGGGGCGTGGGGTTCCCATCGGGTTATACCATGTGGGACTGTTTGTAATTGAAGAGTCCTTCCAGGCCTGAAGGCTCATCCTTTTGGGGCTTCTCACCAGATTCTGCCTCTCTGGCCTTCCCCGTTCTGAAACCCCTCCTCGTTGTAGTACTCGTTTACGAGCAACTCCCCGCTGGTGCCCTGGGCTGCAGTGAACGTGGTAATGACGCGGGCAGGGATTCCCAGGCATCTCAGCACTGCATGGAAGGGGAGAGAGTCAGAAGGCACCAGAGAGGCCTGGGGTGGCGTGTGCAGGCTGGCATATTCTAGGTCTCCTCTGAGCAGGCACCGTCTTAAATGCCAGGTGACACTGGAAACGAAGGAAGGTAGTGCTGACATGCAGGCACGGGATGCATGAAGGCTGAGAGCACTGGGGGCTCACTCTGATGGTCGGGGCAGGAGTCGGGGCAGAAGAAGTCTTGGAGAGAAAGTGACTTTGGGAGCAGAGCCTGCCAGATGGCCAGCTTTGCTGAGGGAGAAAAGGAGCAGAAGCTGGTGGGGAGGAGCTGCTCAAGACAAGTTGCTGGTTTCTTGGCCAGATGGAGTATCTGAACCAGCTATGGGAGCAGAAGGCAGGGAAAGGCTGCAGGGTGGAGGTGGTGCCTGCTTTTGGAGATGTCCCTCCCACATGGGGGCCACTCAAGAGGCAGGGCAGATGCTTCTACAGTAGCCAAGGTGACCAGTGGGTGTGGCAGGCAAGCCTGCTTGGTACCTGTGCAAGCCACGGCAGCCAGCACCCAGGCCTGACCATCGCACACAGGTCGCCCTTGGCCTGTGACCCACTGCCTCAGGATGGGCATGCTGCCTCGGCGCTTGTGCAGTTTCACCCTTTCCTGGATGTCCTGGGTCTGTGCACTGGGCAGGACATTCTTCTCCTTGAGAGCATGCAACTGTTTGGGAAAATGTGTGGATGTTAGGTGCGCCCTTGTTCAAGACAGCTTCTAGGGGCCGGTGAGGAGGGCTCAGACAGTTCTCCAAGCATGGTGAACAGGCCACCTGTGTCAGAGTCACCTGGAACTTGTTAAACCTGCATGTTCCTCAGCACCACCCTACCCATTGGGTTATAATCTCCAGGGGTGTGGCCCAGGGACCCTCCTTTTTAACAAGTCCTTTTGAAGCCAGGGGCTGTGGACCACACCAGCAATCAGAGCTCAAGCCCCAAGAAGAGCATGGGCACCACCCCTCACTAGGGCTAATTTCACAGCTCCTTCACTTGCCTGGGGGCATGAGGCCCACTTATTCTGAGCTTCCTTCTCACAGGCAGGCCTTGTCCCTCCCTACCTCTTCAAAGGTAAATTCAGGTGCACAGGAAAATATGGAGAATACATTACTCCTGTGAAAGTCTATTAGGGACAATGGGAAATCAAGTGACCTGCCTGGCCTGCATATTCTAAGGAATAATTTAGAAGCAAAACCAAGTCTCTTTGACCACCATAGCAGCACTGAGTCTGATGGACCTCCCTCTCCCCCCGCCCCCAGGTTGGGCAGAGGAGAGGAAGCAGGGGAGGGTGAGCGCTTTGAGGAAGTCCAGGGTTTTTGTCCTCACTGGCTTGTGTCCTCAGAGATGATTCCTGCCTTTGCTTTTCTCTCCCTGTGGGTGCTATTGTGTCCCTTCCTCACTGAGACCCTTCTCCAGTGACTGTGCCTCATACCCTGGGGAAGGAGACTATTTGTGATTTGAAGAATTCCATGGCCTTAGGGGTGAGGCAGCACTGTCAGCAGCACCCTTCCATGTCCTCCCCACTCTGGCTCTACCCCTCCTCCCTGACTCACCAAAGTGCCCAAAATTCTGGCCACATGCACTGGGTTGCCCCACTCTTCCACCTGCTGGTCCGTGCTCAGTAAGTCCAGGCTGAGGTCGACGGCATCCCTCTCAAACTGTAAGGACCACACAGGGCTATGATGAGGGTCTGCAGGTCTGTCATCCCACAAGTTGGCCCCTGTCACTTGCTACTTCTCCCAGATTCAGGTTCCACTCCTTCCTGCCTTGCTTCTTGTCCCCCGATGTAGTTCTGGCTTTTCCTTCCCTTGCCTGGTGCCTCCTGGTCCCTGTGCCCAGGCAGTCCCATCCTTTGCCTCTTCTGTTGTCTGACTCTCCCAATAGGGTTTGAGCTCTTGAAGACCACGCTTGTGTTGCTCCCATTCATTCCTATCGTTTCCCATGTAGCGCACTGCCCTGCTCCTGCCAGCACTGACCCATGTGCAGAGGATACCAAGGAAGCTCCTGCCCTTGAGGATCCCGCAGTTTAGGAACAAAGGGGAACATGTAGCCCTGTCCACTAGGTCTCAGCAACATGGCCGAGGGGTAGGAGAGATACCAACCCAGAGCAGAGAGCTTGGCGGAGAGATTCTCTCTACCTTTGTGGAGCTGGAGGAGTTGAGTAAAGATGGGTAGGAGTTTTCCAGGGGATAAAACTATTCCAGGCAGATGCAGCCTGTGTGTTCAGGGGATGGCCAGGAGCTGGAGCCCCAGGTGGCTCCTGAGGAAAGGAAGCTGTGGCCTGGCTGCAAAGGGCCTGTGTTTCAAGCTAGGGGATTTTGCTTTATCCTGTAGAGACTGGGGATTTAACAGAGGTTTGGTTTGCTGTGGCTTTTAGGAAGATAACTCTGGAAGCTGTGGAGGACGGTCTGATGTGGCCCTGAGGAGAGAGGCATCACACACTGAAATAGCCTTAAGAAATGGCCTCATGACCACAGGCTTTGGGACCTGCCAACTCCATCTGGCCTGAACACTGAAGGTTATGGGGTGAGCACTAACCCCTCTCCTTCCGCAAGGTTCCCATACCTGGCCAAAATCCCAGGCCTCTGCCTGGATGCAGTCAGCTGTGCCCAGGTAGATGAGGCCATTCTGGTTCAACAAGTACTCCCCGCGCTGAGCCTCATTCTCCAGGAATACAGCGTCCGCTGGTGAGAAGCAGGCAAGGTTGAGGGCCTGTGGGGTGCTAGGCCTGCCCCCCACATCCAGGCCTCTGCCCTCCCTGCACAGGTCAGGTTTGGCTGCAGGCCTGTGCTCCACATCTGGGCCTGATGAAGACTGAGGAGGAACTCCCTCTTTCCGCTGCCCCAAGTGAGACCTGGCGTCTTCTCTGGTGCAGAGTGGGCAAAGGGGTCAGAGTCCCTGGACCAGCCAAGGTGGCCTTCATGGTCAGCCAGGCAGAAAGGAACAAGCTGACTTTAAAAAGGGTTCCCAGAAGATAGAATGTGCAGCCACAGTGCTATCAGCCCACGGGAATTTAAGAACAGTCCAGGGAGCTTCCCAGTGGACCTGATACATCTCTCCTAAAAGTTCAAATAAAAAAACAACAGTGTTTCAGGAAGAAGCAATCAAGCACAGGTTGACAGGGGTGAGCAGGAGGGATGGGGAGCATTTGGCCAGATGGTCAGAGGGAAGAGTGGGGCTGGGCAAACTGGAAGCCAGAGCATTGGCTCTTCACACTGGGGGTATCCAAGTGAGTCTACAGTTCCACGGTGTCCCTGGTGCCTCTCCTACTGTCTCATCAATGGGTTGGGCTGGGGATCATGAGAAGGATGGGGGGTGTTCAGCAGTCTGCCTCCCACTCTAGGAAGCTGGGAGCAGTGGGGGGACCTGCTTTGCTTGTCAAGTGTCCCTCTCTGCACCTGATGTTGGGGTGGAGTGGATGGTGGTTAGACTGGTTTCTAGGGACTAGAAAGAGAAAAAGATTTCCAAACCATCCCCTCCAGGCATCCAGCTTGGATGAGGGTACTCAAAGCAACAGAAGGATAGGATACCAGAAATCAGGAAGCCATGAAAAACCTGGGGCCCAGAATCACAGAACTGTGTGCCCTTAGAGCCCCTGACCCCTGCCCCTCCCTCATGAATGTTCTCTATGAAGTGAGCGGGACAGTAATTCTTGGGAAATCACTTCAAACAGGTGTTTGGCCCCAGCTCTGCAGGGGGGTTCTGGGGAGTATATTATCAGAGAGCCTAGGCAGCACCACCCTGCTCTTAACCTGGGTGCAGTCTCCTTTAAAGTTCCCTGCTAATCAATAGGACTTTCACTATAGGATGTAAAATTTCCTTTTGAATCCAGGAGAGCTCCATCTCTAAGTATGATAAGATGAGACTGAGCCCCAGATAATCTCTGATCATCTCTTCACCACATCTCCAATGAGCAGAGCCAACAGCTTACCCCTGCCCACACAGACATCTCTGTACAGACTCACAGACAAAGGCCTTCATAGGCAGGTCCAACTCGCCAACATGGAGGCAAGAATCCTGGCATGGACTTAAGACTATGGGTTCCTCCAGAACCGGACACTGTCCAAGAATGATCTTTGCTGTGTCTTTGCTCTGGCCACCAGGGCCTAGCTCGGGATGCGAGCTCAGAGTCAGTGAGGTGGGTGCAATAATGCCTCAGCTTTGCAGGGACATGGCTTGAGGATCTTCCTTTTGGTACAGGGAGAGCCACGTGTCCTCCCCCAGCTGAAGGGTCCCAGAACCCACATTCACCCGTGTGGGGCAGGGGCACCAGAATGAACACCAGTTACCATCTGTTATTCCACGTGCCTGCCTGCTTGGAGCCGAAAGAAGAGCCTGAACTGAGGACAGGCAGGGCTGCCTGAAGGAGGGGGGCTGGAGAACCCCACCCTGAGCAAGAGAATTGGAGAGAGAATGCCTGTTGGGATTCAAGTGCCACAGAGAAAGGGAGTCAGGGACTGGAGTCCAGGGACAGGGGCCAGAGAAAGCTGAGAAGATTTCTCCTATGTCCCCACGTTTGCTCTCATTTCCCAGCCCTGCCTTGAAAGAGGTCCCCTTCAGGTTGGCAGTGAAACTCTTGAAAGCAAAAGGCTCTGTGCTTTTTGTCTAAGTTAGCAAGGACAGGAAAGCTGGTTGAAACTGTTCTCCATTCTCCCAACATCCCACAGGAGACCATGGATTAAGGTGGAGTGTCAGATTTGAAAAGGAAAGACAGACTCCATCTTCAGAACAGGAAGAAGGATAGATGTGCCATTGGCTCTTTTGGGGGCACATCAATCACTCTGATGACTTTTTCTAGAAGAAATAGCCTCCAACAACAAGGGCTGAGCTTTGGCAGAGGTGGCCGCTGGATGGGCTGCGGGAGGTCCCCCTACCCAGAAAAGCCCACCTATGGTCTGCTGACGTCAGGAGGCTGGCTGTTTAATTTGCCCCTCCAGTCAGATATTTAGACAGGTCAGTGTGGAGAGGACATGGTCTGTAGTAAGAAGAGAACAAGTAGAGAGGAGTAGATGTGGCAAAAAGAACAGATTTACTTTGAAGCTGATGAAGCTGAAGCTTCGGGCGCCTCAGTAGCACAGACCTCTCAGGTCCTGCAAGGGGCCTTAGCAATTCAAACATTTGTATTCTTTTTCTTGAAGAGGACCCCTCAAGTTACATAAACCTCAGGTGCTGCAAGTCTGGATTCACCTTGGAGACAGATTACAGGAGCCCAGAAAGGAAACAGAGAAGCCCGTCCCTCAGGTGGCCTCCATTCCCGAGATGCTTTCCCGTTCGTGGCCCCAGAACTGTTATAATAGGTAGCTGTCCATGGGTCATCTCGATGAGCCTCGACCCCTGTGGCCAAATAGCCTGAGCCAGCAGCCGGGCTTGGTGGTGAACAAGCCTTGGTTTTCAGTGGCAAGTCCCAGGCTGCTTCTGCAGGGCTGACCCCGAGACAGGGCCCTGGGTCTGAGGGCATTCATCCTGGGGGCAGCGCCACAGGTGCCCAAATGCTGGTGCTGCCCAGAGAGGGCACTGTCCACTGAGGCCAGGCAGTCGCTTGCTGCCAGAGCTGTGCCCCAGCCCTGGTGGCTTGAATCCCTGTGCAGCCCAGGCTGGCCCAGGTCCCAACTCACCTCTAGCCCACGGGTTAAAGAGCAGTGTGAACTGGCCCAGGAGGCGTGGCTTCCTGAACCGGACGTGCAGTAGGAGTGAGTAGTGGCCAATGACAGCATTTGCAGGCGTGGTCACAGAGATGGTCCAGGACAGGTCGTCTCTCTCCTCCACCATCGCACTCCAGCACTTCCGGTCCTCCAGACTGGAAATTGGGAATTTGACTTGGGTCTTGTTGGCTCCAGAAGGCTGCTTTCCTGCAGTCACAGAGATGAATTGGTCATTTGGACCTCTTGGTCACAACTCCAAATAATAAAGTCAAGTATCACAAAGTTGGGATGGGTGAAAACTGGTTGTGGAGTAGAATGAAAGCGACCCATCCAGTAATGGGAGACAATAAAGAGCGATGGGAGAGCATGGTTCCCAGCACGCATGGACCTACATCTCAAAAAGGTTCACAGTGCATAAAATGCATGACGGAGAGCCGATAAAAGGTCTTAAGGAGATATTACAGGTAAAGCACTTGGCCCAATATCTGACCTGTAGTACAGATTCAATGAAGAGTAGCAATTAAATGTTATATTGATTGAGCCTAGATTAATTAGATCCCATTCAGGCTTTTCTACAAAACTGGTATTTGCAGTCAAAAGGAACTCCTTAGTGATAATGCTGCTAAGCACCTTCTCAGTCACAATAAACGTTATTTGTTATGCATTTTTTCTCATCCTCACATGTTCCTGCTAGGTGGGTACAAAGGTCCCACAGGATGTGGAACATTAGCCCCTCGGTTCCCTGAGGAGGTGCTGGAGAAAGAACCCCCCCCCCAGTCCTACTACCAGAGGGGTCGAGGCCTGCCCCACTTACCAGTTTGTGCAATGAGGGTAACCTTCTTCAGGGTAGGCAGAAATTTGTGAATTGGAACCCGGAAGTGCAGGCAGATGGTAAAGGGCTGCCCCCTCCTGACAAGGAGGCGCTGGGAGCTGATGGCCTTGGTGTGGTGCTCCTCATTGTTTCTTGCTTCCTGGAAGTCACATTTCTCAATCCCCAGGGCTATTATGGAAAAGAGAAAAATCATGATGAGGAGGTAAACATGACAACTTAGGTAAAAGCAGAGATCCTGCAGTCAGAGGGGCCAAGTGTTCAAATCCTTGATTCAACATACTCACTACTTGTGCCACCTCAGGCAAGTAACTTAACCACCCTGAGCCTCAGTTTCCTCATCCTTAGAATAATCATCCCTCCTTGCAGCATTGTAGAAATTAAATGAAGTATATTATACACTTAGCCCAGTGTCAGATACATAGTAAGCCCCATTAAATGAGGCTGTTGTTATTAATAAGAGCAATGCTGTTCCCCTTGCTGACCTTTCCTGTTCCCAAACCAAAAGCAATAAATCAACCCAGAAATGTGTTCACTCTACTCTGTTTTCCTTAGAACACCATCAGATAATTTTTAGAGCTGATTTGGAAATGACCGAGTCCCATTCTCTTGTTTTATGATGAAAAGTAAAGCCCAGAGAGTAGCACCAACTCCCCTGTGATCACAGGTGGCTCCTTCACCTAAAGCTCACCAAACCCACAGCGCCAAGCACTATAGGGAGGGGGCCTGAGAGTCTCCTGACAGTCTATCTCCTGACAAATCTCAAAATGAGAATTTGATGAGACATGTAAATGTGGTCACCAACTGACACAGAAGCCCCTGAGGTTTCTACATCCTCTGGTTCTGCCTGTCTTCTTGCTTTATGTCTGCATCTGCCCATTTCAGCAATTCTCTACCTCCTCCCCTTCTGTCCCACTTAGTGCTGAGCTATGATACCGTCGTGCTTTCCCAGAGTCATCTCCCATTTATATCACAACCCAGTGAGAACAGTCATATTATGATGATACTTGGATAAGAATATCAATCTATGTTAACCACCATCACCATCTTATCACCATCATCACCACTATGACCACCAATTCACCGCAAACATACTATCCTATTGCCACTCAACAGCTGCCCCACCACAGCCCGCACTGCCAGCCCCCACGGTGGCCCCACCACCACCACCGGCACCAGTTCACCACACCCTCACACATTATAGCCACACCACCATCACCTCCAGCACCATCCTACTTCCTTTAATGAAAACATCTAATGATGGAGATGCAACTGACAGTCCAGTAAGCCCCAAGGAGAGCTGGCGTGGCTCACCCTGTCCCATGGCTGCAGGTTCTTCTTATCCACAGGACCACAGGAAATGCCTGTCTTGAACTGGTACTCTGGGCTCCCTCTCTGAATCTATCTTCCAGACAGAAAATGATAGAGATACTTTTGTTGGCTTAAGAACCTGTAAAGAGTGGAGTTTCCTTCTACCCCCCAGCCTGGGAGCTCCCCCACATGTTTCTTCTCTCCTACTCTTTGCTGGCTGATATCTCTTGGACCAGATGCTGGGAGTTACCCTTTTTCATTTTATCTCTTGTGCCAGGAGGCCCAGGTAGGGCTATGCCTGACAGGCCAGAGTGGGGCATGGAACAGGGGAAGATCTGCCAGCTGGAGAAGCCCAGAAGAAAATTCTAAGCCCGTTGCTTCAATGGCTTCAAGAGCCCCTCAGAAATATTACCTGGACAACACCTGGAAGACTCTGGAAAAGATGATGCCACAAACAGGGGCCCATATCCAACTCCAAATCTCAGGCCCTGAACATATCGTGGGCTGCAAGTTGCTAGATGTTCATGGGTTGTTTTGATAACATAAACAGAGAACATGTATGTCTGGGATACATCTGTGTGAAAGAGATAAGGAAATAGCATTTTCTGGTGAAAAATAAATATCCTAAAAGCAGAAGCCAGAGCCCGGCTCTTCCAATTCTGCTGGATCTGGGACACTCAGCTAGGGAAGGTTTGGAGCTACCCTGGGATTCAGGGTCTGTGCCTTTTCTATTCCTACTTGCTTAATCACTGAGGAGACAAGACACAGGAAAGAATCCCCCACTTGGCGCTCTTTGGTCTCTAAAATCCAACTTTTGCCTGGGCTTCTAAAACTGTGTCACCAGAAGCTCTCAGGGGAGCTGTACTGGGCTGCATGTATCTGGGATATCTACAGGAGGGGATAAAAGAAACTACAGCTGGGGATTGGGTAGGAAGGTGATTTTTCTGTTGTTTACCATTTTATACTTTTACAGCTTTGAACCATTGCCCATTTGAAGGATCTTATTATGTAAAAAAATGAAGTTGCTGCCTTCTCACTTACCCCCAAAAAGATTCTTCATGAGAAATGAAGAAGTAAAGTTTTCATCATTTGAAGATAACACAATTTTTACCTGGGAAACATGAATCTGCTAAAAAATAATTATGAAAGATCAGATAATTTAGATCCTAATTTTAATACATTCCCAATAAAATGTTTTTCTCTGAACTAAAAAAGCTCATTCTAAGTTTCAAAAAGATGTTTCTAAAAGATCTAAAATATGATCTAAAAAGACCTAAATATGTTTTAATATCTGGGAAGCCTGTAGTATGACCAGGCTTCCTAGATATCAAAATATATTATGACATTACTGTAATTGAAAAGTGCATAGACTACATGGGTGCATTAGATATGTGCCAAAAGTGGCACTTTGAATCAGTGGGGAAGATAAGGATTCACTAGTAAATGGTTTGGGGATAACTACCTTGTCAAAATAAAGTAGTTTTCCTACCTGCATCATATACCAAAATAAATTTCAGGGGGATCAAAACTCTAAATGTAAAAAAATCAAATCCCTTATGCATTGAGCATTGACTCCCCTATACAGAATTTTATTGTTGTTAACAACCGTTTGATCAATAAATATGAGAGATGCCCTCTCAAACAAAACAAAACAAAACAAAAAAAATTAAATCGCAAAAATACAAGCAGACAAGAGACTTCTTTTAAGTCATCCTAAGGAAGGGCTTTAAAAATATTACACAAACTCCAGAAGCCAAAAACAAACAAACAGACTGATAAATTTGATTCCTTAAAAATTTTTACATCATAAAGTTAAAAGACATAGAATAAATTAGGGGAAATGTTTGAAACTCATTATCACAAATGCTTAGTTTCTTTAATGTAAAAGTTACCTGCAAATCAATATGAAAAGAACAACAAATCAACAAAAAAATTGGTAAAGGGTTTGATGGACAATTCACAGAAAAGGAAATTCAAATTTCTCTTAAATACATGAAAAGATGTCCAGCCTCACTTAATATAAATGCAAAGTAAAACTACCCTGGGATATAATTTATTTCACCTATCAGACAACTTTCTGAGTTAGTGATGGTGTAAGCAAATAGTTACTCTCTTAAAGTGCTGGTAGGAGTGTAAGTTGGTGCAGCTTTATGGAGGGATATTAAGTAATATCTACCCAAACGTTAAATGTCTATGCTTTTGCATCAGTCATTCCACTTCTACATATTCCATTAGGCAATAACCAAATGTGTAAAATGAAATTTATACAAGTACATCAATTGTATTGGTTTAGCAAAATAATTGGAAAGTAAATGTCCATAAATAAGATGCTTGACTAGATAGATAAATTATGGGACATGCATGCAATAGAATGCTATAAAAGCATGAAAAAGAATGAAGTAGCTCTGTATAAACTGATACAGAAAAATCTCCAAGCTATATAGTTAAATGAAATAAACAACGTATAGAACAGTGTGAACAGTATGCTGCATTTGTATAAAAAGTGTGGGTAGATTGGGGGAAAATATATATGAGAATATATATGCTTGTGTTTACATAGAATATTTCTGGAAAGTTATCACTTCTGTTGTTGAGAAATTTAGTGCCTGAGAGTAAGACTTTTTTCTGTATATCCTTTAGGATCTTTGTACCACAAGAATACATTATGTGTTAATATTTTTTAAATAATAAAAATTTGTAAGGGAAAGAGTTTCCTATCTTGGAGGGCAATGGGGGGTGGTGGTCATGGGCTGGCTTCTCTTTGGGGGTTTGCCAGCTCTGATACTGGCAAAGAGAATCTTCTCTTTCCTGATACAATTCCCAGGGAGCTTCATGAATATCCACTCCAGCAGTGTTTCAGTTGGGACACTTTTGGGGGAGCCTATGATGAGACAGATACTGTTGTGTTTGGTTGAACTGGGGAAACATAAATGAGAGATGTGAGGAGGATGGAGGGATGTGTAACCACAAAGGTCTGTCCTGCTTCCTACTGCACCCGCACCTTTGGCAGAAAAACAAATTTCAGCTGGTGTGTACCCAAGAAGTATTCATTTACCCATCCATGACAAAAGTATTTATTGATTACTATTGTGCATCAGAAACTTTATTAAGCACCAGTAATACAGGAATAGATTAGATAGATATGTCCCTGCCACCAAAGAGCTAATGTTCCAATAGGGAAACAGACAGTATTAAGTGCTTACAGCATTATTTATTTACTTGTCATGGAGACCCGTGCTATACAAGAGAAGTTCTGAGTTCTAGGATGTAGAGGTCAGAGAAGGCTTCTCAAGAAAGCAATATTTAAGCTGAGAAACTGGAAGAATAAATGGAGTTAGACAGGCAATGGGGAATAGGGTGGGGTAGGGTAAGAGAAGAGAGAACATGTGCAAAGGCCCTGAGGCAGGGTGCAATCAAAGGAAGGCCATGGGACTGGAGTGCAGATCGTGAAGGGAGAGGGAGGGCAAGGGCTAAATCTTGCAGAGCTAAGGATTTTGAATTTGATCTTCAGAGCACTGGGGAGCTATTGAATGGTATTTTAGGCAAGGGAGTAACACAATCAAATTTGCATTTTAAAAAATGCTATGCTGGCTAAACTAGAGAAGATTATTCAGAGGGGGAAAAAGTGGGACAGGGCCAATTAGAGACTGCCTCATGGTTCAAGTGAGAAATGATGGATGGTGCCTTGGCCCAGGGAGTGTTGCTGAAGATGGAGGTGGGCAGATTTGACAGAAATGTAGGAAATTAAATTTCAAGACAAGATAATGGTCAGGAGGACAAAGAAGCAAAGATATTCAACATGACTCCCAGGTTCAAATAAATTAATTATGCTGCTACATTGCTTTACAAAGTACTTTCACATACATTATCTCATATGATCTGAACCTCAATCCTGTAAACTGAGTAAGAGATCAGTATTCCAATTTTACTGGTGAGAAAACAGGTTCAGGGAGTAAACATGTTTTTTAATGAGTGAATTAATGAGTGGATCAATGAACATAGTGCCTTGTTCTGGAAAGAATTTATGATGACCAAAAATGAAACGAGATGTTTCAGAAGAGCATGTATTAAAATGATGCAAAAGATGAACGATGAATACAGATGGAGATAGAACACAGCAAGAATGAAGCTAAAAATGCACATCAATTACAGACCAATATCCCTGATGAACACAGATGTAAAAATACTCAACCAAATATTAGCAAACTGAATTCAAAAATACATTAAGAGGATCATACACCATGACCAAGTGAGATTCAGCCCAGGGATGCAAGGATGGTACAACATTCGAAAATCTATCAACATCATCCACCATATAAACAAAAAGAAGGACAAAAACCACGTGATCATCTCCATAGATGCTGAAAAAGCATTTGAAAAATTCAACATCCATTCATGATTAAAAACTCTCAACAAAATGGTATAGAGAGAAAGTACTTCAACATAATAAAGGCCATATATGATAAACCAACAGCCAACATCATACTTAAGAGCGAGAAGCTGAAAGCTTTTCCTCTAAGATTGGGAACAAGACAGGGATGCCCACTCTCCCCACTGTTATTCAACATAGTACTGGAGGTCCTAGCCACAGCAATCAGACAAAACATAGAAATACATGGAATCCAGATTGGTAAAGAAGAAGTTAAACTGTCACTATTTGCAGATGACATGATATTGTACATAAAAAATCCTAAAGACTCCACTCTAAAACTACTAGATCTAATATCTGAATTCAGCAAAGTTGCAGGATACAAAATTAACACAGAAATCTGTTGCTTTCCTATACACTAACAATGAACTAGCA